TATATATTAAGGATATATGAAAGTATGGAAAAATGTTTTAGCTCTTTAAACATTATTCCAATATATTTTCCTTCTTTCTCTTCTGCTTCTAGGAAAATACTACCAGTGAGGAATTGGACAAAGTATCTGATGTGATACTGGAAGATACTGCAACATCAGGTTAAGAAACTAGTTTACTTTCATATGCAACATTAAGATAATTAAAAACAGTGTGGTCACATTACAAGAAAACGGATTTAATTTTGTTTTGGTAGATAGCATTTATTTTGTAACATGCCAAAGAAAAGACAGGCCTAATAGGAGTTATGTTTATTTTTTAATGCATCTTTACTCCTTTAAGGGCATAAAAAAAAATATGATCTATGAAAAGGTATTTTTGTTAACATTATAAATTGTAAAGCTGTTGTTCTCTTTTCTGTAGTAGCATGAGGAGAGACAGGAAACAAATTAGCAGTCAATTTGAAAGTTTGCAACTTTAGTCTCCTTTTCCAGTCACATCCCTATCACTGGCCATCTGTGATTTACTCCCCCTTGACTGTTGACAAAATATAGTCTATACCTGTTCTTATGTCTAACGGGAAGTGAATCCAAAATCTTATCACTTGGTGAATGTTTTCATTTTATTTTTATAACTTGTTCATTTTCCACTCCCCCATCTTCCCGGAGATTTGCCAACCTGTTTTTCCTCAATTTTGCTTACATTTAAGTAACTGCTTTTGGTTTAAATTACTCTTTGTTCTTAGTGAGAAAAATTGCAATAGTATTTGATTAGTATGCATACATATAATTGTGTGTTTACAGTTTTATTTATAATAAAATACTCTCGTTAATTTTATAAGGTGTCTCTGTTTTAGAGGAAGAAGCTAAAACTGTTCCACATAAGGTAAGTGAACTTGCAAGAGCACTTCTAACAGTCTCTAGTTTGTGAAGAGGTAACATATTTATAAGTGAAAAAATATTTACAAATAGAAAAAAAGCACTCAAATTACTCAGGTTTTCATGACTATTTCATTATGGCAATTTCTGTATTGTTACAGTTGTTTAAAGTATGCTCTTCAAAGGGAACTTTCAGCATAAAATGTTCCTTTAAAAATACACATAAAGATTAAAAAGGAGGAAAACAAGTTTAAAAGAGGCATAGTTTTCTTAATTATCTTAGAAATGGATGTCACAGATCTAACCACATTCTTTACACTTTCTCATCTAAACCTTTTAACATGTTATGAACTTTTATGTGATAATAATCTACTTTATAATAGAAATAAGTAAAAATTCCAGTTCATATACTGTTTGTTTCTCAGCTAATTTTACAGAAGGTATTGCTTTATTCTATAAAGCATTAGATCACTATGAACATATATCAATAGCGTAAAAGATACTTCAGTACTTCTTAGCAAATAGTACTTAATTATTTCTATCCTTTGGTCAGTGACTTCCAGATGCCAGTTGAAGAGTCAGTATGTGCTGCTTTCCCCAACCCATGGCAATAGATAAAAGTAGACACTACAGAGAAATTTCCATATGACTACATTTAGCTTGACAGTTGTCCTTCATTTTATAATACTGTTCTTTGTACTGTTTTGTCATTAAGATTTACTTTACTTTATGGTATAGTTGTGATTTTATGACATTTTTCCTTGTCATTTTGCTATTAAAAACTTCATTTATTTAGTGACACTATAATAAAGTAAAATGTTCTGTGCCTCAATTTTCTTTTATAAGATGTTAATATTTAAGAACCACTATTTTATAGAGCATTATGGTCATTTTTATGGATAATATTCTATCGCCCATGGTTTTAGGCAAGGGAATTTCTCAACGCTTTTAATAAGGAATGCAGCGATTTACCAATACTGATGGTAACTAATTATGATAATGGGTAGAGAGTACAGATGAATAAGTCTAGTTTTTTATATATTCTAGTCAACAGAGATTAATCGGTAGCTTATTGATGTTTTCTAGTTATCAGATAATAATGATAACAAAGACCAGACTCCACCAACTTTGAGCCAGTCACCTGAAAAGAATTCAGAAGCTCTTGCTCCTGAATCAACAAAAAAAGCAGACACGCCACCTACTACGGCTCCACCTGCTACTCCTACCGGAGCAGTAATCAAGGAGAACAAAACACCTGCAAAGGAAGACCAGTCCAAAGCCGAGCCAGATGGAAAAACGGATGAAGTAGTTCCTCCTCCTCCTCCAGAAGAAAGAATGCAACCTAGCGCTCCAAGTATTATGAAAAGAGACTCATCTCCATCAGAGGTAAAGTCGAAAAGTGTCTGTATAAATCCAGGTAGAATAAAGAGGAGGGACTTAGATTCACCTCCGACAGAAATTAGGAGGCAGAACAACAATGTAAGCTTATTTAGAAGGAAGAGGACAGACGTTGTCTTCCCAGAATCAAAATCAAAAGGCAGCTTTCGAAACCAAGATCCCAAGGAAGACCTTGAAGTAAAGGTCTCAGCCCTTGTGTTAGAAGTGTAAGACTAGGAAAAACAGAATAATTCATTTTGAAAAAGAAACTAAAAACAAATAAATTGAAAAGGCGTTAAAATGTCTCTGAGTTGAAGCGTGTCTCAATATATTAAACACCCCTACCCTACTTTATACTATAGAGTAAGGAGGGGAAAATCTTTGAAGGAAAAGCAGTGTGATCCAGGTTACTAGTAACACAAATAAACTTCATGGGCTGGTGACACCATGTAAATTCAGAGGCCCTATTTCCTCATCTTCTCAATGGTAGGTCAAACAGGGAACTTCTAAATTCCCCTCCACATTTCAAAAGGTGCAATTTCATTAAATATAAAATTTTATTCAATATAATTAAAGAGCAATTCTTAATTACCGAGATCAATAGGTAATTAACCCATGAAACTTAAAAAAAAAAAACCCACTTCTTGCTTTTACTGTATGTGAAAGTAATATAGAAAATGAAAACAAAAAGTAAAAATAGTTGTAATTCTACTGCCACATTTAACAATTTATTTCCTCTTAGTCTTTGTTCTGTGTATATAGAGACATCATTTGTTTATTTTAAAACTTTAGATTGACTTATGATTTTATATTGTTTTTGGAAGCTAACATTATCAGCATATTGCCTGAATTATTTAAAAAATTTGAAATGCAGAATATTCCTAAATTTGAATATGCAATAATTCTTTTAAATAATTTCTATATTGTTAGACATTAAGTTTGAAATCATCCTTTTACTTCACTATTTGCATCTGTTAATCACTTCTCATATATTTATAGAAATGACATATTGACAAGTTGTTCTCCAGAAAGATTGTGCTGCTTTGCATCTCTCAAATTATGGTATTAATTTTTAAAACAATGATTAACATGTTTCCATGCTTATCAATAATTTTGATTTTCCCTACTATGAATAGATAGAAATCACATCCTTTGCCCATTTGTCTTCTGTTGAGACTTGGTGTTATTTAGGTTTCACAATGAGCTGTTTTTATTATAAGGATATTAACCATTTGTATATTCATGGCACTTACTTTTTATCAATCCATAGTTTGTTTTTTTAAGATTCTATTTATTTATGCATACAAGAACTGGGGTACAGGCCAGAGGTGCAGGGAGGGGGGCACAGAGAGAGTGGGGAGCAGGACAGGCAGGTTGGTGAGGTACACTGCTGAGGGGAACATTGGGTGGGTCAGGAGAGGTCTGCTGTGCCATGTGGGTCAGCTCCCTGGTCAGGGGTCTAACTCTTGCTGCAGTGTTTGTGGACAGCTTCATAGTGCTGCCTCTTAACCCCTTGTGCCACCAGTAGGGGGCCCAGTCTGTAGTTTTTGTTTGAAATTCTTCATTGGTCTTCTACATTTTTTACTTTCCCTTTGATAATTGAATTATTTATTGCTGCATAATAAATCACTCCAAAGCTTTAAAGTTACCATGTTTTTATCTCTCCGGATTATGTGGGTTGACTGTACTTTGCTGGGCCCTTGCTCTGCTACTTTGACTTTGGCTGAGCCTGTAGACATTGGGAGCTTGTCGGGAACACTCACGATAGCTCACTTACAGGTCTTATACCTTGATGGGAATAGCTTTACCTCTCCCCTCACAGAAGAGGGCTATTATTGAAGACTGCAGCTGTGATATCTTAAGTACCTGCCTTACCCCCACTGAGGTAACCAGTGAATGCCTTACCGAGCAGAGTTTGAAGCTCCTGGATGTGCACAATAGGAGCTGGTGACCCTAAAAGACCCTAAAACAGAGAACAGCCCCCAGCTGGAGGTGCAGCCTTAATGCCAGTCACGTCCTGTTAACCAGCTTAACCACAACATAGAGATGGTCTGTTCTGAGACTGCCTGTGATGCTTTGGCTGAGGGGTGGAGGTGTTGACCTGGGTGAGGGACTCACTGAGTCCCCGCCACACTCTGCAGGTGTCCACCCCACGTAGGAAGCTTGATCACTGGTAGTGATCTTTCAGTGCCCTGCTGTGCCAGTTCCTTCCTACCTACTAACCTTTATTGGTACTAGTGCCAAGAACATCTTAACAGGTACCAAAGCACGGGTCTAGGAAATCATAAAAATCTGAAATGCCTGGGTTAAAAAAAAAAAAAAACCCTAGGATTATATCCAACTTTTTTTCATAGGGATATAAAGTCAATTCATGAGGATAAAAAAATGAGACAAGCAATTAATGAATGATCAACAGGTATGAAGCAACAATTCACCAACTAAAACATCCAGAGGGTGTATCGATCCATGGGAAAATATTCGCCATCACTTTTATTAAGGAAAATGCATGTCAACAGCACAATAACATCTCACACTTGTAAGAATGACACATGTTAAAACACAACAGCAGCTTCTAGAGAGGAGTCAGAGAAAGAGGAATCCTGTTACACGGTTGGTGGAAAGCAGTCTGACTTTATCATCACACACTAAAAATGTAGTAACCATATGACCTAGCAATCCAATCACTGTTGGGCATTTATCTCAAGAATGTGAAACCATCAATTCAAAAACTTTTATGCTCCCCAGTATTTACTAGAGCATTATTTACAATATCGAGGATGGGAAACAGCCTAAGTAGCCAGTGATAGCGGCTTGAACTAAGAGGTCATGGAATAGCCACACAACCGAATATTATTCAGTCATAAGGAAATGAAAGGAGTCTGAAGGAATTCTGTGTAGTAAAGCAAGTCAGAATAATGAAGACAAATATTGGACATTTATATAGTGGGCAAACTTGACAAAGGAAAATACCTAAAAGAACAAGTGGACACTAATAATAAAATGAGGCTTCAGAGGTTAAGAGGGGGTGGGCAGGAGAACAGTTTGACGGTATAGAAGGGATGGTGATAGGGAAAAAATATATCTGGTGCTAAACAAAGGGAAAGCAATCATATCTCCAGTAATTTTAATGTTGCTGCATTGGGTTTTCATTTATCTGTGAGGCATAGGAAAAAATATATATATCACCTCAAGTGATAAATATCAGAGAGCATCACTGAATTTTGACAGTATTTCCAAATTCACTGAAGCAGCACTTCAGTATTTTTTTAAAAATATGTATGCATACAAGAACTGGGGTACAGGCCAGTGGCACGGGGGTGGGTGAAAGGATTCACCAGAGACAGAGTGGGGAGCAGAATAGGCAGAGTGACTGAAATATTCCGCTGAGGGAAGCAGCTGGTGAGACAGGAGAGGTCTGCCATGCCATGGGAGTTACCTCCCTGGCGGGGATCAAATTCCTGAAGCAGCACTCTTTGATTTAAATAGACACCCAGACTACTTGTAAGTGCTCTGAGCCTGAGGAGTTGTTTCCCCACTGGGAGGTACAGTGTTCTGCCTTTCTTAGTCAGGCTTTTATGTAAATATGAAAAGTTACAGACCGGCCAGCCCTTCAGTTTTTCTTCAGATGCATACCTTGTGCATACTTTGCAGAAACATTTTTGGACTGTGGGTAGTTCATACGCTGTCCCCACCCCAGTCTCCAGTCTATACCCTCCTTCCTTCACCATGACCCCTGTGTCACCAGGCTTTCCCTCTAGCTGACTAGGAATTAGGTTGAGTCAACAAATGAAAAGTGACCTACAATTGGAGGGGAGAGAAATCTTGGGGTTTTCTGGCCTACTTTCTTCTTGCTTTGGTACTCTGGTTCTGACAATGGACTTTCCTTCCCATCTATAACCCCCTGGGTGCCCCCAGCTCCATGTCTTCAGCTACCTCTGGATCTGACTAGCGTGGTGACATCTTGCATTCACCCTCCACATCCCTTCTTGGTTTCTCATTTGTGAACTTAACTTTCATTTATATTAAAGCGTTCTTAGTTGGACCATTGTAGAGTTGTAATTCCTTAGTTATTTTCCCAGATTTTCCTCTATTTTTATCTCTCATTTCACAGGGACTTTGTAAAAGGTCAAATTATCTTGACCTCAATGTCATGATGAACATTTTTTTTTTCTAAAGTGTAAGAGTTGACATCTATTTTAAATAATGAACTCTTGCCATTTGTGGCAACATGGATGGAACTGGGTGGTATTAAGTCAGTCAGAGAAAGACAGATACCAGATAGTTTTACTTGTGTGGAATAGAAAGAAAACAAAGGAACAGGCAAAACCAAACCACGGAAATGTGACCATAGAATCCAGGCTACTGATGGGACAGCGCAAAGGGGGACAGGTCCAGTGGACCAAGTAGAGCACTATGGGTGCCTTGATGAGAGGTGTGGTGTGGTAACATCATCTGAAAAGGGGTGATTCTATACCTCTCAGTCATACGCAGTGTTTTAATGTTACCTCAATTAAAAAAAAAAGAGTTGAAAATGACCCATACTTACTATAAAATTTCAGTCAACACTCCCCCTGCTGCAAAAAAGGAGGAGCCTATAATTCCTGTTTCAGAAATAACTGATATTAATAGGTAGCATTTGGTGAACATCATCCCACAGTTCTTTCTGTATCATGGGGTGAAAATTGTGATGAGTCTCTCACATTTCTACACTTCTTGTTGAGACTTGGAACGTTCTGGAGTTTCCTGTATCTTAAGCCATTGTACGTGCAGTTACTTGGCTCTCTCCACATTGCCTTGTAGTGATTAGGTACTGAGGAGCTGATGCAGAAATGTTTATGCTGTAGCTACTGCAAGTGCTCTGATTTATAAACTGTGTTGACTCAGGAGGTGCATGTCTTCTGTCAGTGTCCAAGCAGCTACTCAGGCTAACTTGCTAGCTTACACATAAGCTATGTTCTTGGTAGCTTTGGGTACAAGATGGGGCACTGACAGAAAAGACTTTCAGAAAGAGGAAAGACAAGAATCCTGTGATCCGATGGGTTAGGTTTGGGGAAACCCTTGGGAATTGGCAGTAAATGTACTGAGCAGCTTGCATGGTAAGTCAGACAATAAGCAGTCTTCCACTTCATTGCCATTGTCTCTCTCTCTGCCACATATGTGCGAGATGATTACAAGCCAAGTGTGGGAAAGCAGGTTCAAAACAGCTGCTTCAGCTGTTGCTAACTTCCTTGCCAATCTGATGATCCTCCTCCATCTGTGCCATTTTAATTCTACTACTATTTATCCTAAGTGGGCAAAAGCTCCTGCTCTCTAGAAACAGTTACAGAGATGCATACCTGTCCTGGAGATGACAGGATGCAACCTCATGACTGCTCTGGACGGAAACCAAGTGAATCACGAGAACTTTGGGTGGTTATCTCAGGAGGTGAGGGTGCAGGCTTTGTAATTCCAATCAGGGAAAGACGACAACAGCTGGCCCACCTTCTGGCCAACAACTACTGAAGCATACAGTATGCATCTTACATTCATTCCAAAGCAACTGTAAAAGATTTCAGAGTTTTGGTAGTGGGTTCTGGCTGCTATACTATAGTTTCCTTGGCACTCTTGGGGAGATTTCCCTGAGACAGATGAAGTCTTGTGGAAAACCTTACATAGGCAGTGACTGGTCTTCAGGCTCTTACTATCTAAACTGTAAATATACTGATAAAACTGACCTAAGAAATAAGAATGATCCAAAAAGGTATAGATAAATTCTTGTAGTCAGCTCTGGTGCCCTGGAAAACTCCCACAGCCTTTGTACTGACCCCAAGCAAGAATTTATGAGATGTCATTGTGGTAATTGGACTGCAGATACCTTGGATTGAAATGGACTCCACAAAGTAGGTCACTGTCGCAAGCCAAGCATAAGTCACCCAAGGATACATAAATCTCATGACTCTATCCAGAAAGCAGTGTGGTTTTGAATGCTGAGTCCAGGTATCCAAAAATGAAAGACACGATGCCAGCTATGAAGACCTTTTTGCCTGTTACAGAGTTCTGGGCAGACCAACACCATTAAAATTTCATTTGGTGGAGCCATGAATTGCTGCTATGCCACTCAAGATCGAAAGTGAACATGATGTCGTGTTTAATGGCTTCTTGCTTCTGCAACCCATGGCACCTCCTAGTCTCAGCTGCTAAAAGGAGAAACATGAGTAGAGGCAGAACCAAGGTCTCCCCATCTATCAAGGGGGTTACAGACTTTATGTGGCTAAGTTTGCTGGGGAGCTTCAGGGGGTGAAGGTAAGGACCCAGTCTTACATGACTGTGGGTGATGTGTTCCCAAGTTTCTATCTTACCTGGTCCTGTGGAAGAAAGTCACTTGGATTCAGTCTAAGAGGTTCACAATAGGGAAGGGAAATAGCAAAAATTCTGAATGGGGCCCTTTACATGAGATGTATTGTCGTTTCTGCACCTGAATGTGTAGTAGGTATTATTCTGCTGTGCATTTGTCCGTCTCCATCTCAGAAGCGCCACATGGAGAGAAATGCTGGTGGAGCATGGAAGTCTTATCCATCTTCCTATACCCTTCCAGATGGTCTGACAAAAGCTATAGTATACTAGAAAGACCAAAGAAAATCACAGTCTTTACTAAAGGCTTAAAGACAAAAGGGAAGGTAAGAGATGCATTATCTCAGTATAATATCTCTGCATGGCCAGTGACATTTTTGAATGGAGTCAGACTCTTTACAGTGGGTTATCACTAAGTGAATCTAGCAGCTCATCCATGTCCAGATACTGTGGATTTAGAAATTGTTCTAGATATTGTGAATAGAACTGAAACCATTACACAGATTTAGGACACTGGTACGCTGTCTTGGAATTGCCAACATCATCTTTGCTGTAACCACTGACACCTGTGAATCAAGGTAAATGTGAATATTTTTTTAGCACCTGCTCACCTGCCATTTGTCACCAGTGGCTAGATCAGGATTTGGCATGAATGCCTCTACCCTCTGATGTCTGCAGCTTCCTCCACAGAGATGATACTCCACTGGTTACAAGTGAAAAGCCTGAGTCTCAGCTGCCTGGAGTGTGGTCTTGAATGTGGTGTTATTACATCTTCATCAATAGAAATGGTGGCAAACCCTGAAGAACTCCAACTTACCAGGGAGTTTACTGGGACTACCAGGGCTGACTCATAATGCTCAGTCCTTCTGGCAATCAGAGAAGTGTTCTCTGTCTTGCCCCGTCCTCCCAACCACCATAAAAAGAGGCCCAGCACCTTGTTGGACTCTGGGTGGGGGAGGCCAACATTTGACCATTCTTCTCGGTCCTTGACAAGAGAAGAATTTTCAAGCTAACCTCCAAATCAGCATCTACCTAGGGAGGCCCAAAGCAACAAGCTGAGTCAGCAGGCTGTGGTGCTCTGGCGCCCAGTGAGCCTGAGACTCCCTTGAGCTACAAGTCTCTGTGCTAATCAGAGCCCCCATCTAAAGACCTGTCTTGAGCTTTTGCATTTTTTCCTTCTGACACACCTACCAGTTACAGTCCTTTGGAAAAATAGGTGTGGTTTTTTTGTTTGTTTGTTTGTTTTTTGAATACCTAACACTGATAACACTGAGCTCTACTAAGCTCTTGACAAACATCAGCACCTTCTTGAAGAAGACTTGTGATTCTCCAGCTTCCTATTTCCACAGGGCTATAGATCAAGTTGGATTCTGCAACTTGATGGGAAGCGCCTAATGAGCCTTGCTTATCAAGTGGAAACAGTATATTCAAGAGCAGAGAAAACCTATATCCTGCAGTTTCTCAAATTTACATGAAAATGTTGTAATTACCTCTTTCAGGGAGAACCTTACCTCACCCTCCTTCCTCTGGAGAAAATCACTGACTCAGTGAGGCTTCTGCTATAAATAATAAAGTCCTTTGTCTTTGAAGTCATCTGTTAGCATTCATGAAGTTGTGGCAGGATAAATGGAGAGCTTGATGAGAAGGGTAAACTCTTAGGAACTGTATAGCTCCTGATGGTTTCGGTAATGGGAATGGGATGCTGAACAAAGATGCGTCTTTCTGGAAAAGGGGGGGGAAGGACCCTACAAGCTGGGCTCGGGAATGTGAGTAGATTTTCCAGATTTTAGATTTTAGTGGTGGTGAAGGTGGGAAGGGAGTGGGTACTAAGACTCTCCCACTCATCCTGCCTGTTAAAAGCTTTTGTAGAGGCTTAGCAGTGAGGGTGGGGGTGAATGAGGGGTTAGAGTAAGCCACCTAAAAGGTGCTTCCTGTGTGGCTCACTCTCCTCTGGAGATGGGGTTACAGAAGCAGGGCTGACGGGTAATGTGCAGAATAGCTGAAATCAACTGATCGGGTTCCATTAAAACCTTCACAGCGAAAAAGTCAAAGTGACTGTAATGGTAGGAGCCTCTCTGCTGATTCAGTAGTTGTAGCTCTCAATGCTAATGGAATAATGAAATTGATGTGTTGCATGCTTATACTGCAAGTACTAATGTACAGTGGAAGAGAACGTTCTCCCATTCAGGGCACTGGTGCACACAGAGAGATCCTTGTCGTGTGCCATGGGTGGATGGATCAGGATTTAAATTGGTGATTCCACCCTCTGATGTCCAAATGTAGATTAGATGCCTGTTAGTTAATTAGGAACTCAAATGTCTCCATCTCAGTAGCCCTGACTATGGTGTTACCACCCACTTACTAACTGAGGTAGCTGATAAAACCTGACAAATTCAAGGGTCTTTTGCCAAATAAGTTTTCTTGGGATTATGTGGGCTGATTCATAGTACTCTTTCTTTTGCTAGTCAAAGAAAAAGTGCCATCTCTGGTCACCCAGTGACATAGGAAACCCAGTGCCTTTTTTTTCTTTTAATTCTTTGGGTCCAATATGTATCTCATTTGGGCTTTGTTCTTGGTCCTTTATGTTGGCTAAATTGCACCACAGCAGGCTAAAGTAGATCTAAAACAGTAGGCCTTGCTGTTTTGCTAGCGAAACGGTAGCAGTACATTCATGGGCACATCTGATCTGATCCTCCTATCATTTTGTTTTGTAAGAAAAAGTATCACCTGACCATTTTGGCCAAACCTTAACCTCAGCCTGACATTGACAGCAAAGCCACTGGCTCAGCTGGAGCCCTGGGTTCACGGAGGTCCCCTAAATGCCTAGACCAGTTTCGCTAAGTCCAGCTAAGCTGAAATGTGATAACTAGCCTGGGCTACTGTGACTGTCCAGCCTCTGGCCAGCTTTGCAGAACCAACAATGGATCTGGTTATTCCACTCAGATGGCCAGAACTCAGCATACTCAGCTTGAAGAACTTTGTTATAGCTTAACTTTCTTTGGGCTAGAGCCTAGCTGTTTAGTTTGCCTTGTGGAAAAAAACATGGTGGCAGATTAAAGACATCCCTCTCTGGGGCTACAAACTGTGGAACCAAGTGCTGCTGCTGAGTGAATCATCTGGATCACTTATGCAGATGTAGCCAGCGAGGGCTTGTTGCTGAGACTGGAAGCTGCAGACTGAACCTCTTCTCCCCAGATTGCCGCCATTGCTGCCTGGATTTATCCTTATCCTGGGAATGGCAGGCAGCACACCCACTACCATCGCTGGGCACAAAGTAAAGAAGTCAACTTTGGTAGAGGTTGCCACCACATGCCAAACTTGACTCCTGTCCAAAGTTGGCTCATTTGTCTCTTGTGCTGAGAAAGCGAACACTACAGGTATTCTATTCTTCACAGCGGATTCTGTGGGTAATTGGTTGATACTTTTTCAAGGTATGGGATTATTTTCAGTGTAACCAGATGACTCCATTTACTCTCTTGAAATGATTGCTGGCCATGTCCTTGGCTTTCTGGATCATTTGCAATCTGAAAAGAATATACAAAAGTCATGTCTTAAAAAATGGTTTGATAGTCAACGTATTTGTGGGTACTTCATGGTCCCTACCACCCACAGTTACCTCATCTTGTTGGTCATTAGAATAACCTACTTAAAAAGAGAGACTCAAAAAGTTTATTTCCCACTCTACTGTTCTTACCTCCTCCGGGTCCACACTCCTTAGAGGGTTTGGTTGCAGAGTGCAGTTCTTCCCAAAGAGAGATAATTTCCTCTCAACTTCCCCACTCTGGGCAGTGATTAAGACAAAAGGAATCGAGGCTTTTATAGATCTGTTGTGAAAATTGGAGATTCTACCTTGTCCACTCCTGGACACAAAACTACTTTTCTCCCACTGCATGGCATCCTTACATTAGCTTATTTTGTGCACTCACTGTGTGGAGCCAGTACAAAAAGGTCTCTGGAATCCAAACAGTCTTGCCCACAGGACTTTATTTATGGGAGCAGCATCTAGAACTGAATCTTAAGTGTGATGCACTGCTTGAAAGAGCAGAGAGCTTAAATGGTAATGAGTATGTTTTGCCTTTGAGAAAGATGTGACTAATCATGGGAAAGAAGGTAGAATTGTTAGAATGAATTGTTGATCTCGCTGACATCCTATTGTGCCCTGTATTCATGTCTATTTCCTGTTCACTTTTCAGTTTTTCTTAGTAGAGTGGACTACATTCTCTGCCCCTTCACTTTGAACTTACTCGATTCATATCTCTCTACAGGCCACCCATATCCAAAGATGAGTCAACCTAAAGATATAAAGCTCTATCATTTGCCCCAAATTAGAACAACTTTTAAGAGCCATCCTAACTCTAGGACTCTCTGAGGACATCATTGGGGGTAAATGGCAGTCCAGTGTTTCCTGTCCAACCATCTTCCTTTCCTTTCTCTTCTCAGATGTTGATCCTAGTAGTAGTCCCTGATAAATGTCTCATGCATATATTTCCACTTCATTGGTTGCCTTCCAGAGAACCAAAACTGTTAAAAGCAACAATAGATAACAAAGGAATAGTAAACGCTAAGAGAAAATTAACCCTAGAATCTCACTCATCTAAGTGACTACTCAAAAAAAAAAATCAATAAAACATGTTGAAAGTTAAGAAAATAATCAAATAAGTATATATTCCTCCAAAACCAGTAGAAAGGGAGAAAAGGAAATTTGAAAACCCATTCAAACTCATAGATTATAGGAAAGGAGAATAAAAGCCCTCTAGAAAAAAGCATTTTAGTAGAATAAAATATGATGGTAGAAACTCAGCATGAGCTGTCACAATAAATCTTTAAAATACCTCAACCCTTTAGTTAAAATATTTTCAGGTTTCATTGAAAATAACAGACATCAAAAGATAGTTCAAGGATACTCAAAAATGAACTAAAGATAAAAAAGGACTGGACCCATATTATTATTCATAATAACTAAGACAACAGAGCAATCTAAGTGTCCATCAGTGGATGCATAAAGCAAATACGGTGTACACATGCAAGGGGTGTTAAAATGCCAAGAGAAAGAAGGAACCCTTCCCTTTGCAGCTGTTGATGAACGCAGAGGGCATTAAGCTAAGTGAAATAGTTCAGAGAACTTATATGATTAATTTAACACAGTCAAATTCACAGAAGCAGAGAATGGAATGGTAATTGCCAGGGTTTAGGGGAAAGGGAAAATAAAGACACACTAGTGAAAGTGTACAAAGTTTAGGTTACACAAAAGGAGTAAGTCCTGGGTAGATACTATGCAGCATAAGTACCTAGTTAATTTTGTGTTCTTATCACAAAACTAGCAATAATAAAGAGGATTAGTATAGGTTTCACAGGACAGGACAGCGAGGGGAGCAGAACAGGCAGATGATCGAAGTACACTGCTGAGGGGAGCCGCAGGCGGGTCAGGAGAGGTCTGCCACACCATGTGGGTCAGCTCCCTGGCTGGGGATCGAACTTGTGCTGCAGTGGCTTCTAGAGATTCATCATGTGGCATTTTAACCTGTTGTGCCACCAGGGAAAGCTCCTGGCTGCTAATCTTAATGGATAACTTTTTTTTTCTTTTTCCCTAACATAACTTTTTTTAATTGGATAAGTTTGTATACATTAAATCACTTAGTTCTTACTCTTTTCAATTGTTTGTCTTTTGTCAGTTTACTTATATATCTGAGCATATATTTCTTTACATTTATTGTCTTTGAAGTTGAATTTCTTAGATATGTAGATTTTATTGATATGTAGATTTATGTATTTTATCAAATTTGGGACTATTATTTCTTCATATATTTTTTCTGACCCTTTTGATCTCTTTTTTGCCCCTCATAATATGTGTATTTGATAAATTTGATGGTCGTCCCCAGTTTCTTTAGGCTCTGTTAATTTTTCTTCATTCTTCTTCCCATCTCAAACTGGATTATTTCAACATCCTCTCTTCAAGCTCACTGATTCTAATCTGCTTACTTCAGTGAAGCTACTGAAGTCCTCACATGAAATTTTTTTCCAGTTTTGTACTTTCTGATCCAGAATTTCTATTTAGTTCTTTTTTATATTTTATATATCTTTTTATTTATAGTCTCATCATTATTTTCTTGGTTTCCTTGTGTTTACTGTTTGTGGTTCCCTTTTGTTCTTTGATAATATTTAAGAAAAATAATTTTTGTTTATTAAGTCCAATGTGTGGGCTTCCTCAGGGGTATTCCTATATTTTCTCCTGTGGATAGGCTATATTTCCTGTATCTTTGTATGCCTTGTAAATTTTTGCTAGTCATTGAGCATTTTAAATATTAAAATATTGCCTTTGAAATTATATCTATCGCCTCCTTCTTCTCCCCTTCCGGGGATTACTGTTGTTGAGTTTTTTAGAGCTACCATTATCTGTTTCTTTAGTGATTTATCCAGATATTTTTGAAAAGACAAGTACTTGTGGTCAGTCATAGTGGACAAGATGCGTTCCATTATGTCCATAATGTGTTTCATTATGTCAGTAACCAACTAAAGACGTGACAAATTAAACACCAAAATTTAGCTGCCCTTTTCTTCATTATCTAGTCTCTTGATTGCTGTAAATTCTATATTAGATTCCAGACTTTGAATAGCAAATCTGTCAATCTTTGGCAATTTGTATTTGTTTCTTGGGAGGGATCCTACTCCACCATTTTCCATGCCCCTTCTACCTTCACTTTTGATATGTGGTTTCTTTGATATTAATTTCAATAGTACCTAAGTATAGTAATATATAGTACATGCATAGCATTATTAATAACATACTAAGTATAGTATTTTTATTTACTATTTTCATTTTCTGGGCTTGGAGATAACCAGAAGAAGTCGATAATATCCAAAGCAATAGCTTCTTCTTTTTTTTTTTTAAGATGTATACAGCACTGGGGTACAGACCAGAGGTGCAGGGATGGTAATAAGATTCACCAGAGACAGAGTGGGGAGCAGAACAGGCAGGTGGATGAAGTACACTGCTGAGGGGAGCAGCAGGCAGGTCAGGAGAGGTCTGCCATGCCATGTGGGACACCCTCCTGGCCAAGGATCAAACTCTTGAAGTGACTGCGTCTAGCTTCATAGGTCTGTCCTTTAACCCGTTGCACCACCAGGGAGTGCCTGCAACATCATCTTTTTTGATCCTTGCTAATTTCTATTTAAACCACCTACTAAAACAATGTTTCAGCAAAACTTATTATGATACTAATAGTTTCACTGGTTAAAAAGTGCTTTCGGCCCTCCCTGGTGGCGCAGCGGGTTAAAGCACAGCACTAAGAAGCTTAAGCCACTTCCGCATGAGTTCGATTCCCGCCTGCCCCGGAGGTGACCACATGGCGTGTCAGACCTCTCCTGGCCCGCCCACTGCTCCCCTCAGTAGTGTACTTCGTCGATCTGCCTGTTCTGCTCCCCGCTCTGTCTCTGGTGAATCCTCTCACCCTCCACATCTCTGGCCTGTACCCCAGTTCTGTATGAATAAATAAATAAAATATTTTTTTTTAAAAAAAGTGCTTTCTTTTCATTATGTAAGATAAACTGGTAACACTGGATCTCACTGTATTATTATTTTAGCCACCAATAATGCTAATTTTAAAAATCATTGATATTTAATTTTTTTCTATTTATTTTCTCTGTTCTTATTTCAGGGTTTACAATATCCCACAAACATGAGTAAAAGACCTTATTCTATGCCTCGTTTTGTAGGTAAGTTATATATACATTGTTATAATTTTTGAATATTCATCTAAATTGAGAATTTGAACTCATAAAATAGCTATTATACAAAATTTTCCTTCAAAATGTAATTATACTCTATTGTTTTGAGATTATTGTCATGAGAAATCTATAGTATTAGTGGAAAGCTGAACAATAGAAAATATAGGTGACCTTAATATTCTAGATAATATGTACTTTGCGTGTATTGTAATATTGAATTAATAAACCAGTTTTTATCATGTTAGAAAAAAATAACCATTTTAAATGACATTCAAGAATTATAAGTCAACTTAGGGTATTGAGATACTTGAGTATTCATAATATGATTCCTACAAACCTTAATGCTAATATCCTTTGGATTCTTTTAACCATAGAAGAACTTTTGGAGTAAATTTGGTGGAATGTCCAGCAAGATCCTTAATATAATACTTCCAAATATTTTTGAAAGGGGAAGAACTCTGTCAAATATTAGAAAATAAAAATCAAGGAATTAACTGCTTCTTGCCTTGCTCTGTCACTATCTTTGTAAGCTTATGCTATCGCTTATTTCTCAAAGTCTCAATTTGCCCATTTTAAGAACAACGTATCACACGATGTGGATTCCCATACCTTGATCAGTCTACTGTTGGTGGTAATTTAGTTTGTTTAATACACATTTTATATATTCTTTTGGTTTACTATGTAAGAATCCTCTCTAGGTTCACCAGTTTTCTTGAGGAATTTCATAACTACTCATGAAACAGATTCAGAATGTCAAATGTATCCATAGCTTAAAGAGTTAGTTATGCATAACAAGTGTGTGGTGGAAGATTGGCCAGTGGGTGCTAGAGCACAGGTTGAAAGGAGACACAAAGGAGGATAAGTAAAAGCCTTTTAACCATCTAGTCAAGCATAGATGTTTATGCAGATGTAATCCTGAGGAGCCACAAAAACATTCAAAAGCAATTAGAGTGCAATGACAAGATTTTTGCTATTTTAGTTTTAATTTTATTTTGAAATCATCATTATGAGTCAGAAAAGTAGAAGTACTCATACATTCATTTAGTAAATGTACAGAGCATGATGAGATTTAATTTTAACTATTTAATGTATGTACATTAACAGTACCATTGAAATTAGTAATTGGATAAAATTTATTTTACCATAGTCATAGTAATTTACAGACCCAAGGGTACATACAGTGTTTCAGGGGCCAGTGGAGAGGAAGAATTATTGATGGTAACAAAAACAACAAAATTTGCACTCATTTTGTGCTTTAGCCCTTTATAGCACATGTAATACTCCTGACTCCTGTGAGGGAGAAGCCTAATCTTTTCACAGATGATGAAACTGAGACAGAGAGAAGCAAAGTAACTTTCCAGAGTTAGAGAGTTGGTGATTTGTGGTGACTATCTGAGTCCAAGAAGCTTGGTTTCAGAGCTTGTGCTCTTAACCACTAAGCTACTCAAGCATCAGTTTGATACAAGTCTACAGGTCATGCGTATTAAATGCCGTAAGTTCTAGCTTACTTATTGTTATTCTTTCTTTAATTTTCAGAAGAGGTAATGCAAAGTAAGAGCAATGCACATAAAAATGCAAATGTAAAGGGGAAAAGTGTAAGTATCTTGCTAGATCCTTTATAAACCACAGTTAACATTTTAAATTGTTTTGAATAAATTAATATTTACTGATAGTCATCAGGAAACCATTTTATTATGAATTTATAAGCTTATAAATCAGTTATCTTTTCAGTCATATCTACAACTTTATAAATAATTATTAAATAGCCTTAACTTTAAAAGCCTCTACTGGACCCTCCCTGGTGGTATAGCGGGTTAAGCACAGCACTAAGAAGCTAAAGCCACTTCAGCATGAGTTCCATCCCCGCCTGCCCCAGAGGTGACCACATGGCATGGCAGACCTCTCCTGACCCGCCCGCTGCTCCCCTCAGCAGTGTGCTTCGTCGATCTGCCTGTTCTGCTCCCCACTCTGTTTCTGGTGAAGCTTCTCGCAGCCCCTGAGCCTCTGGCCTGTACTCCAGTTCTGTATGCACAAATAAATCTTTAAAAAAAAAAAAAGGCCTATACTATTTAACTCTTTACTTATACTTATTGATCAATAAGTCAATTAATAAAGCACCAAGCTACTTGTCCCACTGTCACTAAAAAGATCATCAGCTGGGTCAAGGGTATAGCTAATTGTTTATGCCACTGATGTACAACAAGACAGTATGAGTTGTTGCCTCACTTTTGCTAGGGTGATATCCAGAGACTAGTGGAAAAGCTGAATATACACACTATATTACTATATTGGCTGGCTCCCATGCTGCTCCTCAAGAGGATGGCTGCCTGCTTTAAAAAAAAAAAAAAAAGATTTTAAGGGATTTAAGGGATCCAGAGTCCTCTCATGATATAAGATCCAAAGTGATGATGCTATGGTTGAAATCCACCTGGTAGATTAAGAGTCAGAAAATGACAGTCTCAATGAAAGAAAAAACTGATCCGCAGATATTTGAAGCAGATAATGAAATAATCAGACAAGAATTTTAAGCAATCATCATAAAAATGCTTCATCAAGTATCATAAAATCCCCTCATGCAAATGAAAATATAAAATAATCAGAGAGGTTATAAAAAAAGATGAAATGGAAATGGGAGACTTTTTAAGACAACAACCAACATAAAAATCTCAATGATAGGATTCATTAGAGAGAGGAAATGACAGAGGATAGGAGGAGTGAACTTGAGGCAGCATCAATTTACGCAAAATGATTAACAAAAAGAAAACTGAAAAAAAATATGAACAGTTTCAGAGATATGTGAAATGATAACAAAAAATGTTCATATTCATGTCATTAGAGTCCCAGGAGGAGTGGAGAAATGAGAAAGACTAGAAGAGAAGGAGAGAGAGGAGAAAAAGGAGCAGGAGGAAGAGGAGAAAGAAAACACTCTTAGACAAAAAGAAAACACTCTTAGACAAAGGAAAATCAGAGAATTTGCTAGTAAACATACACTGAAGGAATGGCTAAAGGGATGCCTCTGAAAGAAAGAGATAACAGAAGTTGTGGGACTTCAGAAAGAAAAGAATATCAGCCTGGGAAAAGTATCCCTTTATTGAATGAGTACCCTATTTTAATGCATTCTTAAAGAATATGTAATGGTTGACAGAAATTAGAACCCCACCTGCTATGATATATAAGTAGAAGAAATAGTAACAATTTTTTCAATAGGGAAGATGAAGGGGTTTAAATGGAAGGAAGATTTCTATACTTTACACGAAGTAGTAAACTATCGATACCAGTAGAGTATAATCTATTTAAATATACATAATATCTAACACAACCACTGTAAAACACTTATAAATAGCAATAACCTCAAAAATTGTAAATAAATCAATGTTGAAACTTTAAAAAAGTTCCTATTACCCACAGGTATTAAGATTTTTGATAAGATTCAAAATCCATTGATGATTAGAAAGAAAAATCTCAGAAAATGCAGATAAATGAAACATACCTCAAATTAATGTTATTTATTTATTCTTAAGTATTTTATTGTATCATTTTTTAAAAAAGGTAATGTTGGTTTACAACACTGTACATGATTTAAAGTTATAAGTTTTCACCTCTTCAGATGTGAGAACTCTAAAATAGTTTAATTTTTTAAAAAATAAAGGAAAACTAATCTTAATATTCTTCTTACCAGGGATAGTTAAAACTGCATATGAGATAAAACTAAATTAAGTTAAATTAAACAAGGCCACTTACCTGGCAACCTAAAAAAGCAGAGGTTATATACAATCAACAGACTAAGAAAATTCAAAGAATCCATCACCTAGGGCAACAGGCTTGTAAACTGAAGGCCTTATAGGGTTCTAGAACAAATTCCTGAAAGTCTAAGATAATTGCTTCACAAACAAGTTGCAAAATCTTCTGAATTCTATGATAAAATAAGCTTTGAAGTTGTTTGAAGTTAAAAGAAGAGTTTTTTGTTTATTTTATGAACCAAGGTAGTTAGTGTGTTAAAGAAATGCAGTATTTTGAGACAAACTTCTGGAGTGCTAATCTGAATTGCAAAGGACTGACATCTTTTCCAACTTATAACTGATTCAGGTGACAGTCTTTCAATAGTTGACACTTTCAGAGTCTCTGCCTAAGTTAAGATGTTCAAGATATATCTTGAGTTTCTATTTAATCCCTCACAATGACAGGACACTAAATCATTTCCCCAAACGTCAGGGTGGAAAGAAGGGTGGAGACAAATGAGGGATTTAATTTACCCTATCAGTGAAAGGCAGTGTTTGGGGATAGTAAGATGACTAGTTTTGAGAACTAGTGAAAGCAAAAAATGCCTGGTAATTACCAGGGATAGGAGGTTTGGAGAAGGGGAAATTGGTATTTAGTGAGTATACAGTTTTTCTTGTGCAAAATAAAAAAGTTGTAGAGATCTGTTGTACAGTGATATAAACATACCTAACACTTTTGACCTTTGTACTTAAAAGTGGTCAATTGTTTTTATTTTTAAAAATTTTTAATTTATTTTTTAAACATCTTCATCTTTTCATACTGTAGCGTTTCTCAGTTCAGGTGTAGTCACCAGTTTCCCCACCTCCATGTTAGGTGTTTTTATTTTTTATTAAGCATTCTGTTTAGTGCATTAGTATGCATTTTTAGTCACAGTACAAATGAAGTGAAAAAAAATGAGGAAAAGCATTCTCACTATTTTTAATTGCTCAGATTTCAGCACTTTCGTTTACCTTAATTTTTTTAGGTAAATGATAATATTGACTTAATTAACTGAATATATTTGCTACATTAAATAAACTTAAGTATGATTTCACACATCCTTTATACGAATTTGAAATTTCCTACCATTAACACCCTACTATGTTTTATTTTCCTATAGTTCTCCCAGCTTACATGAAACTTTTTATTCTTTTGACTAAAATAATAAATTAATTTGGCTAGCTCAGATACATTTCTTGGCTACATAGATCATTTCTTCCCACTAATTTGAAGTATAACCGTTATCATTTGCTAAAATTCCTTATTTACATGTCTTATTTCAATTTTCTGTATTATCCCAGTAGATGATTTTGTTCTCTCTACTATATTGTTATACTACTTTAATTACTATGCTTTAAACCTTTTTTAGTATCAGTGGGGTTTTGCTTATCCACTTTTTCATCATTTTCTTGGTACTTGTTATGCATTATTTTTTACCTATGAAGTATTAGAATTATTTTGGCAAGTTCTATAAACTCTGAGGTTTTGATTGGAATAATAGTGAATCTGCTAATTGATTTGGCATGGTGTGATATATTTTTTGAGAATCACTGCAAGTGCAACCTCCATATCATATCGAAAGCATTTCACAAGCTTTCAAAGTCAATATCCTAAAATCTCAATTCCTCTCTACTTTTATTTCTGCTTGAGTTTCCTATATATTGTCTTGGGAAATATACTTGCTTTACATGCTGTATAAAATTAATAAATTAATAACTTTCTTTATAAGGTGGCCTTTTTACCACAAGAATACTATCCACCATATTTCAGATCAAAATATACAGAATTCAGACCAAGATATCAGGTGAGTCCTTAGTTACCCTATGCCAATATCACCTATTCTTATACTTAAATACTAGGTTTCTCTAATACATTATTCAATTACAAAGTCTAATATATAATTCAATGATTCCAAAACCAGACTACTTATTAGAAACACATTAGACTGTGTATTTAAAAATACATATTTTGAAGTCCCACTTCTGACCTAAAGAATCTCAATCTGGAAATGCATTCTTGACATCTTAATTTCTCAAAAAGTTCCAGGAAATTACTACATTATCACTTGGCATTTGAAAAGCAGTTATAGTAAATTGTATTCATTAAAACAGAGTTTGAATTAGTAAATTTAAATTGTATTCATTAAAACAGAGTTTGAATTAGTAAATTTAAATAAATGTAAATAAACACAGGTGATTATTTCAGATTTTGCTTTTTTTTTTCAATTGGATAATGTGAAAGTTGTATGAACAAAGAGTTTGAATAAAAGACTTCATTTTGAAGGCTATTTCAGTAAGTGAATATCCTAATCCCAGGAGCTATAAAACTGCCTCTGGATATTATGCTAACATTTTACTATAATCTAGAATTTTCTGAGGCCTATCTAATCTTCATCAAAAGGCAAGATTCTGCTGTGACATGGCTAAACTGGGTGGAATACACAAATCATTGTAACATTCACACTTTAAGGCAGTTGATATATGACCTCCAAATCAGTCTTTAAATATCTTCATGATACTTTTAGTGGAATAACTACTACTACTTACTTTGCATTTTTAGAAAATTTTCTCTGTTGCTCCTAATGGTAGCATCCTGATAGCATCCTGATGCTATTGTCTAAGCAAATGCAGCTAACATTGGAAATTGGGTTCTGAAAAATACTAACTTTGAGTGCCTTTTAAATGTTATTTTTTATTCCAGGTACAAAAAATCCAGTCATGAATACAAAATAGTATCAGAATGAATAATTTTAAAACTGTACATCACTTTTTTTACTTCAATTTCAAATATTTTATAGTAATTAAAATTGACTTTCTCTTTATAGAAGGTAGGAGGGTGAACAAATTGGCAAATTGCTCAGTGAATGTCCATTAGAAAGTTTATTGTAAATTCAAAATAAATGCTATAAAATGCCTTACTTTTTTTTTTTAATATTACAGAAATTCAACACAAAGGACGGGTTTGATCCTCTTCTAAGGAATATTAACAATAAAATGTCAGCCAGAAAAAGGAAAGACCAAGATATATTCAAATGTAGAGAGAGTTTAAGTGCAGAGGTTATAGAACATGAAGACCAAGATCCTCCTTATAGAACACCTTCAAAAACTGCAAGACCAACTAATTTAGTCCTTATCCGGACCCCTGATTCCATTACAATAAAGGCTTTAGACAATAAAGGTAGTCCTTATGTGACCTCAGAAAAGTCTCTGGGCTCTGAGAGTAAGTTAGCTGGGCATCCTGATACCACCCCAGTAAAGACAGTAGACCTTATGAGTAAGTTATCTGGTGGCCCTGACATTGCCCCAGTAAAGACTCCGGACAGTAAGAGTAAGTTAGATGGTGGTCCTGGTATCATTCCAATAAAGACTCTGGACACTAAGAGTAAATTAGACGAGGGTCCCGAAAGCACCACAGAAAAGACTATAGACATTGAGAATAAGTTAAAGGAAAGAACACCAGATATATATTCACCGAACTTTGAAGGAGACTCATCAGTGATTGGAAAAGCAAATTCATATTGCCTTGCAAATTCATTAATTCTTCCTGCCAGCATAGAAACTTTAAAAAGTTTCAAGACAATTTTTGATAAAAATCTGGAAAACCTTGTGGATAAAATCTTATCTAAAGGAGAAGTTCATATGGATGGCAGTGAAGCAAGAGATGAAAGACCTACTTCTCCGCTTCTCTATGTTTCTAGTGAACCAACAAGTAGTTTGCAAGCCCAACTACTTGAAAACAGTCAAGATTTAAAGAGTTGGGTTTTAGAGAGTGATACTTCCAAGTCTCTCTTAAGTCACATAATTAAAGATGTAGCTACAGAATCACTTGCAGAAAGTGAGGCAGGAATTTCCCCAGAGGTAGAACGGGAACTTACTACTGGAAAACACTTTAAGACTGGTGAGGTTGATTTTCCAGTTAAAAAAAAGAGTAGTTTCAAAAAGAAACATTTACAAAGCGAAGAATCTGTCTCCAAACCAGTTTTAAATGGCTTTGCAAGTGATTACAATATAAAGCAAATATTCACTGCACCATACTTCTCAAAAATAAGCATGAAAGAATTGAGTGAGACACAGAGGAACTTGCAGAATCAATTACCGACAAGTTGGGAGAGTTTACCTTCATCTATTCTACTTCACTATAAAGAAAAAGAAGAAACAGAATTGCCACAGGCCAAATCTGTTATAAGCCAGCTATTACAGTCATTTCCTATAGATACTCTTATAGAGTCTGGGGTAATCAAAGTGGTAGAACTAGATAAAGAACACCAGAAGAACATTTTGCCAGATATCGAGATAGCCTTTGCTGACAATAATTTAAAGCGTTCCACAGAAGATTATTCAAAATCTTTTCAAGAACAGGAAATACCCATCATGTACAAAGAAGCCATTCCATTTAATAGTGTAGAGTTTATAAGCAAAGGTCAAACCATGTCTCCAAAAGATTCTACATATCAGTCAACACCCAACAAAAAAGCTGATTTGCCAAGTAATGGTCAGAGGCTTGACAGAAAAGAAAATGACCTAAGCTCTACTTTAGAAAATTTAAGTAACTTGTTAATGGGTAACCTTCATGAGTCAGATATAATAACTTTAAACTCCCTTTTAAAAAACATACTTAATGCTTTTTTCAAATATAATCAGGCTGAAAGAAGAGCCCCAGAAAAAGAATTAGAAAAACTAATTAACCATTCTTTTCTAAATAATATAGAACACCTTGAAGCAGCAAGAAAACAATTTGATAAAACAGATGATGCAGACAGAAAACCTATTTTGAATCCAAAGCTGTCTGCATTTCTAGAAGAACTCTCAGAATCAGAAATAAAACATTTTAAATCTGAATTAAGTAAACATATCCAGCATTACCTTGTAGAAAGACTTTCAGAATCAGGACATATCACCAAAGAGGACTTACCAAAAATCTATCAAAATCTGTATTTGATGAATAAGAAAACAGAACTGGAAGGGCAAAATATTTTTCTGGAGAAGTATTCAAAAACTGTAAAAGAAATTATGTCTTTTGTAAATAATTTCAATCATCATTTTATAGATAAACATTTGGAAATAAAGCTAAGATCTTTTTTAACTGAAATTCTCCAAAACTACTTCCTAAAAAACCTTTCAGACAGCAATTTATTTAAAGAGACAGAACCTGACACTGTACGCTCAAACATGTCATCCCTAAGAACTAAAAGTGTCCCAATATCTTTTCATGAGTTAGAACAAGACATATCAAGGGGAAGTTTTGGCAGAAGACTGGACATAAATATGAAATATCCCTTAAATAAGTCTCTACAAAACTGTCTCATAGCTTTATCAAGAAATGAACTATTAAATATAAAAGCTAATTTAAGGACACTCCTCCAGGGCATTTTTATAGGAAAACTTGCACAATCAGGACTAATCACAGAAAGCCAACTAGAGAAGATCAACCGCCAGATAAATTCGATGAATTCTGGTTCTAAACCAATAAAAAGCATAAAGGCAGGTTTCTCTTTTGGAGATGAACATCAGTTTATGGAAGAACATTCAAAGAAGCAAAATAAATTTTCAGGAATTGTTCAGGAACCCAAGGATTCTGAGGATAGATTTTCAGAAACAGATAGAAAGGAAGAAAAGGGATATTTTCCTTTGCACGATATTAAAGAAAATTTATCAGTTATTAAGGAACAGAAAAGATATCATCCAACAGAAGGAGCTAAAACACTAAATATAGTTAAAGTACAACCTGTTCCCAACAAAAATATCCAGATGGTTCCATTAAATAAATCACCAGAAAGTCTTACTGATACAATGCTTAGGAAACAAAGGGAAGAAATTGGTTTCTTGCCACTTCCAAGAGCAGAAAATACTGTTTTAAAAACAGAGATTCAAAACCCACAGAATTGGAGTGGTAATTCACAAATTACTGACCCAAATACCTGCTTTGAAAGAACATTGAAAACGAAGTTCTTCGAGAAAAAGGAGCATAATAATAGCTATAAATTGATGTTACAGGAAAAACATGAAACATTGCTGTTGCCACACCCAAGAATCCCTAACTACAAAATGCTAAATAAAGAATATGTAGACAAACTCACTTTTCTTCCCAGACAGGGTAACTCTCTAACTCATTTCAATTCAGAGGCTGGAAGAGTAGAGGATCAGTATTGTCAGAGATTGAAAGGAAATAATAATAATAATAAAAAACAACATTTTGTAACATTTTCACAATACAAAAATGAAATACAAACTCTCTATACGAGCCCAAATGAAATTTGCAATGAAAAATATGCCACGGTCCCAGAATTACAGCCATTTAAGTACAAAGCTGTGGAGTCTGAGAAAAGCTCAAAATCATCCCTCTTCCCAGAAGTATTTAAGAGAGAAAATGTCAAGCCCAAGGTCCGCAAAGAAAGAGATCATGCCAGCAGACAAAAGAAGTCACTTAACAGGATGGCTAGGATCCTACCAGCCACGCTGTCCTCCCCAAGAAGTCTTCTAAGGAAATCTGTTCCAAAGACATTGCTGCACTGGACTGCAAGAAGAACTGTACATGTAATGTTTTTCTAAGTCCCTTACTTCTTAATTGGCAAATTTCTGTAAATAATCTACCTCAGGATACATATGTCTGTGTGCAAGTAAGTGTGTGTGCATGCGTGTGTGTGTCACACTCATTGATTCAACATATACAGGCCTTTCAACTTAGAAAAAAATTTTTTTTCTGGCATTCAGTTACCACCTGACTTGATTAAAAAATGCCATGACAAGACCAGGGAACTGTCAACACACTTAGCACCCTGTATAAAATAAATATAGGGCACCCTCGTGGAGCATTAGCAAAGGCTGCCCTTCCCCCAGACAGATAATCTAGGCTGTCAATCTGGAGCTAGGAAACCCAGCCCAGTCCATGGAAAACTGGCTGGATTGCAGCCCTCACTAACCCCCTGTCTCTTAAAGGCATGAGCCTTTAGACCCACTGACAACAGCTGTGTACAATGAAAACAGCTGGGATTGTCTTGTCAGGTAGATAGTCATTTTTTTCCAAGTCGCAGAATTAACTTTGTTTCAGTGAACAAATGTGAAGCTCCTCCTATGTGCCCATTATTCTGCTACCAGTAAGAATATGCAAAATTTATAATCTCTTGTAATATAAACTGTAAGGGTTTTAGCTTTCTAAATTCAACTTCTCTTTTCTTCTGACCACTGTCTCTCTGCTATAGCTTGTGCTGATAACCGTGAGGGTTCAAATCTATTTTTAATAACATAAAGCAACAAGAAAGGCAAATCCTGCTACTAGGCTTTATGCAAACTAATTCTTTTTATTATTATTTATTTTTACATATTTTTGTGCATTTTTTCATCTCAGCTGCAATCCCCTTGGGTTTGATCCCATTCCCCACTCCACCCCCACAAAATGTCTCTGGTATACAGCTGTTCATCATTATTGTTTTCTCACCTGTTCCGTTATATACCTGCTGTGAGAGAAACCATCCGGTATTTTTCCTTTTCTTTCTGGCTTATTTCACTAAGCATGATCTTTTCCAGCTCCATCCATGTTGCTGCAAAAGACATGTTTTTTTTTTTTTTTTGGTTGCTGAGTAATATTCCATTGTGTATATGTACCACATCTTTTTAATCCAGTCATCCATTTTTGGGCATTTGGACTGTTTCCATGTCTTTCCAATTGTGAATAAAGCAGCAATAAACATGGAGGTACAGGTATCTTTTTGAATCAGTGTTTTTGTGTCCTTTGTGTAGATACCTAGGAGTGGGATTGCTGGGTCATATGGAAGCTCCATGGTTAGCAGTTTGAGGACCCTCCAAACAGTTTTCCATAGTGGTTGTACTAGTTTGCATTCCCAAGCAGCACGAGAGTTCCTTTTTCTCCACATCCTCGCCAACATTTGTTGTTGTTAGTTGTTTGAAGATGTGCCATTCTCACTGGGATGAGGTGGTATCTCATTGTGGTCTTAATTTTATGCAAACTAATTCTAAAGCAAAGTTAACATCTAGGAATGGATGTAAGAGACTAATTTTAATTTTCTTGATAACTGCTCTTTACTGATTTAAACTAAATGGCATATTCACTAAACTGGCATATTCTGCATTTGTGAAAATTATGAAGTTTAAAATTGATAATTTAATGTGCATAATTCTACCTTTAAGTCAGAAAGATTACTTTAAATTTGTTTTCCACAGTAGAACGTATTACTAGTTTTAGTAAATGCTAAAGAAAATTACTAGCAAGTTAAACATTATCAGTATAGCCTCCACACTTTGGGTTTCTCTTTTCTATCTAAACTCAAAAATTTAATATTGAGTGAGTATGAGCATGCGTGTGGGGGATGCATGTACACATTATATAGAAAAGTAGAAATTGGTTTCATAATTTTTGCAAAACAAATTTTCTGAAGTTTCTTTAGACAAATGGAATCTTTGATAACAATTTTTTTCCAAGAGAAATAAGAAATTGTGTTTGTTACATGGTATGAGCTCCTACATGATTTCAGAACCTTTAGCTCAAAGCTGCAAGGGATATAGAGTTGTCTTTACTCCCCTCTGTTAAAAACCAATGATGCCTAATTTTTTTTCTCTCTAGTGAAGTTGACAACAGAGAATTCAATGGTAAGAGGGCATTTGTCAGATCATCAGAAAGACTTTCACATCTGATCCTCCAAAATTCAAAAATCTCGCAAAGGACTCAAAACAGAGGACAGAGAAATTGAAGTAGGAGCATTCAGAAAATAACCAGTGGTGTGAGTCTCCGTGTTCTTCCACTGGCACTCCAGTAATCAGTTGTATCAACTGTGAAGCAAAAATTGTATAATTTTTCACCACGATAGCAGGAGTTCCCTTACATGGGGGTTTAACTAATTGTTTCATGCATATAAGAAAGAAGAATGTTCCCTTATCCACTGCAAAATCCAGGCAAAAATGTAAAGTACATAGAATTTGTCTTCTGACTCTTTATAGTCCTTTTTTAAATTTTAATTTCTTTCTTATTGCCCTAATTCTTCCTGGTTCTGTCTTCCTCCCCTCAACATCCAGTTCCATTAATCCGCTACTTCCTTCTCTCCAAATCAAACAGACAATTCCTTTGGTGTAACCATCTCTGTGAAAGGGACAAGCTGCTCAGATTGCATAGAAAACTAATTTACACTAATATGAAAATAATTGCAGATTATTTTATTTGTATTATAAAATATAGCCAATGATGGTTGGGCCTCACTGAGATTGTACTAAAGACTACTGAATTGTACACTTTAAAATAGTTAAGATGGTAAGTTTTATATAAAAAAATTTTCTTATGGAAAATTTCACACTCAATTCAAATAAAACAAAAAAATATATATTATATAAAATTGGAAAAGAAAAAAACAACCCATAATTCCACCAGCACCCTAACACAAGCACAATTTCTCTTTTATTACTTTGGTTTGTATCTAGTATTGTCCTGGTTGTTTTATTTACTCTCCGAATATATACAATTTTTTCTTATTTTAATGTAAACATAAGAATTCATCATTTATATTTGGGGTAAAGGGAGAGAATTTTGGAGGAGAAAAATTGTAGAATAGGTTAATTGTCTTTGTTAACTGAATTTGACCCCTAATTTATTCTAGCTTCATATTGTCCTCTTTGAAATAACAGCTCTTCTGAAACAATACGATCTTCTTAAAGCTTGCTTTCTATGTTATTACTTAATGAGAAGCATTGGTTAAGTGTAGGCTCTGAATTTAGGAACTGTCTTTACAGCATTTATATTTTTGCTAACTGTTGATATTACAAACTTTAATCCTTGTAATTTTAACTTTTAATTTTAAGAAACTTAACTTACCAACCTGATCTTCTATTTTAATACTTAGGATTGTTCGGATAGATTTGAGGATCTACCCATGACCTCATTTCAGCATCTTGAAAACGCAAAATCAAGAGCAAGGCTTTTAGGAAAGAGCACAGATGATAGACATCATCAGTTAAAACATTTTGCAAGACCATATACTGCTCCAGAGGTTAACAAAAGACGAGAAAGCTACACTGGAAAATATACAAGTCTTCGAATGGTTTCAGCAGGTTTAGCTCATACAAATGATACAATCCCAAGTTATCAAATCCATAAACTGTAGCCAAAAAAAAATTTAAGATTATTGAAAGATGTTCAATCATTGTTGATATTATCTAAATGTTAAGTAACCAGAATGCTTGCGAGACCAACCACGGCAGTATCATTTCTCCAATTAACAAAATGGTTTGGGGATCTGCCCTTGTGTGTGATAAAAGTCAGCAGTTAAATTTCATCGTACTAGAACCATTTTGTTTTAATTAAAATGAAAAAGAAATACTGATGTAAATGTGGTTTTGTTTATGAATTTTAGGGAACAAACCCTACTCATACTCAGTTCCTATTCATTATTAAAGTTTTGTTTCCCAGTTTTCCACTTTTCCATCGTCATAAAACAATCTCAGTCCAATCACAGTTCTTTGACTTCCCAAGTCTTTGGTACTATTCAAATTTTTCCTGTCTCTATATTTCTTAAGGTCTCTTTTTACAGTTATGGCTAGCACTATAATTTTACCTTTTAGCTCTATATTTCTAGATTCAACAATACACATTTCTCTAGACATACAAAACTTCTAGTAATTTAGTATCATCTAACATTACAGCTTTTTTACACTCTAAAAATAATGGACAGATTGAGTACTAATTGATGGAATGATGTTCCAGTTAACTTGAAAAATCATGAAGGACCTCTTTAATAACAAAAATCTCTAAGTGGCATAAAATTGTAAAAATAGCATACAGTAATTAAATCAGCAGAGGATTTAAAAAAAAAAAAGTCAGAGACTTTGAGAATTGGCTCTATTCCTGTCCAGCTCTGCATTTGGATTTTGTTGATCAATTTATGTAATTTTGTCAGTTTCAATTCTCCTACATAAATCATAAAGACTATAGGGTTGAAATAAAAGACTATGGGGTTGAAATAGAATAGGTTGATGGAAAACATAATTCCTGGTTATTCGTTTAATGGTATAATCAAGGTAGTAAATTTTTGTGGAGATCAAGTATTTCTAGCAATCCTTGAATTTATCAACACCCATATCCCTCAGAGGATAAATGAGAAAACACATATCTTTGGAGCTTTCAAACAGAAGAAACACAGGGAATTAATTTTGGGGGTGGTGAAACAAGGCTAGGAAACCAAAAGACGGTAAGACAATCTGGATAACAGCAGGAGCAGGTGCTGCTACAAACCCTCAGATGGAAGGGAAAGCAAGAAAAGATGGCTGCCAAGATCCCCATACTGGAAGCTAAAGACAAACCACTGGCAGACCACATGGCACAGCGTGAGAGTTCCTCCAGCCTGCCCGCCTGCCTTCACATTACGGCATCAGCATTGTCCTGCCTTTGGATTTGACACGTCAGCTCTCCCTACAGCTTGCAGCCTGGAACGACACCTTCGTTTCTCCTGAACCCCAGCTCATGCCTCACCTTGTAGATCTTGGGACCTGTCAGCCTACACACCCGTGTAAGTCAATTACTTATAGTAAGTCTCCCATGGTTTGTGTCCCTGAAGAACCCTAATACGCCGACAGTAGATCTGAGAGACAGGTTCCTGGCTCCCACAATCCATCTTTACACTACACATAGCAACTCTCCACACCTATTTGGGACAAACTCCTCTCTGGATTGGTCCTCTGAGCGTCTCTTGCTGACAAGAAATCTAGGAGGTAAGTGGAACAAACTATCACCCCACTACTATAGGTGATGTAAGGGCCTCCCTGGCACTTATTACCTCTCCCCTCTCCGATACCCAGGCAGGTCTTCGTGGCTTAACTGAAGTAGCCTTTATTCCTGAGGGGTGCTGGCCCATAAACATGAAAAGGTTTATGCTTTAAATGATCTGATTTGTATATTATGTGTTATCAGTTTGGTTTTTTTAATTGTAAGACTTTTAAACAATTTTAATAAAATCTTAAATAAGAATATAAGGATTAAGAAAATCCACTAATTGACACAGGTACCAATTTACTACAATTCAAACTACATACTCTGTTTTTAGAGGGCGTCTCTCTTACTAGACATAATAACTTTATACCTGCACCTCATATGCTGTATCCCTGTAGAAGCAAGGATAAAAATAAGGGCACTCTCCCTGGTGGGGCAGGAGGTTAAAGCTCAGCAGTATGAAGCTATCACAGCCACTGCAGCACGAGTTTAGCACGAGATTGATCCCTGACCAGAGAGCTGACCCACAGGGCGTGGCAGACCTCTCTTCCTGCCCGCTGCTCCCCTCAGCAGAGTCTCTCAGTACATCTGCCTGTTCTGCTCCCCACTCTGTCTCTGGTGGATTATCTCATCCCCTGCACATCTGGCCTATATCCCAGGTCTTGTAGGCAAAAAATAAAATCTTTAAACAAAGGGCCAGATTATCTTCTGCCTCCACTGAATCAAATACCAATTCTCTAGGTTCTATAAATAAATCTTGATTTGTCTTTTTGAGAAAAAGGTTCCTTGGCAAAACCAATTGGAATCTGTATTTCAGCTGTCAAGTCACACAAAAAAGTCTGAAGTCCATTCAAGATATCTTTATTGAGCTCCCACGGGGTGCATGAATTTAGGATCTATAATTTACATTAGTAGAAAAGTATTACTTCAGGCCCTTAAAAAAAAAGCAAATTACAACCTCTATATATTTCAAGTGAATCATTTAATGCGAGTGAGGCTCAGTTTGATATAACCCTAAGTATTAATAGAAGAAAATGGGAAAGTACAAACATACTTCCTTCTACCAAAAGAAGACTTAATGCCAGGATAAGCCAGCCTGTTGGTCTAACAGTAGCTGATCAAAAAGGCTAGAGAATCTGAAAGAAAATAAAGGACTTGGAAGCACGGCCTCTGAGGGCCCATTCATTCCCTAAAGGACAGCAAAATGCTGAAAAAGTTGACTGGCTCAAGTATTATATGAGGAATCAAGAAGAGGAGTTAGTCACAGCTTGGGGGAAATTTTTGAAATTAATGACACTAAGTGTAGTTCAATTAATCATTCTGAGGTTTCTCTGTAATTGAATAGTTCTCTGAGCTGACCAAAAGTACTATCAACTCATGCTCCTTTGAACAAAGTGGTTTTTAAAATGACAGATTCTCCAGTGCACCAACTGTATTTTCAAGTATACTTCTAGTGTTTGTATCTAGCAATACAGAAGAAAAAGCAGCAGGGAAAAGGTGTCAAGTAATAGGACATAAAAGGACGTGGCTGTCCTAGAATTCCCAGTCTGAGTCTTTTTCATCAGGGAAATCACATTGTGGCTCGGACCATGGTGTCCCTGGAGGCAGTGATACTAATGGCTGGTGGTAGGCAGGAGGCAACAGTGAAAGTATTGAATCTTGGTTTTCTTCTTTCATCTGTAAAGAAACTCAAAATAAGGTTGTTTAGTACATAAATTCAATATGTTAGTTTTACTAACAATAAGTTAATTTTAGAGAAATCCTATCAAAAATTTAAAATTGATTTTAAGTATTTTCACTAAAAATGTCTTTGAGTCTGGTCATATGAAAACAGAAAAGAAGTAACAATCAAACTGATTTTTACCAGTATAAGAAAATTTAGTTTCTAAATTAATCAAAATATAAACTGAGGATACAGTAAGATAGAATGATAACCTGCTTTTGCGCATTTTATTTTGTAGAATGGAAACACTTTAGGAAGTTTATAACCAAACTGCCAAACAATTTTTTTTTTGGTTTTTGACTTTTAAAAAAAGTTATTATTAAGAAATCTTGGCAACCAAACCATCTCATTAAGCCAAAAAAAGAAGTGATTTTCTAATACTTTAAAAACAGGAGATAAATCACTTACCTGTTTGAAGAAAACATGGGACAATAAGCTGCTTGCTGATGGCCTGAAATATTTTAAGAAGTTGTTAAAAAATAGAACCTCACATTAGAAGGTCAATTTTTCTGTGCAAAAGTATCTTAGAATTAGGTTTACTACTATAAAGCTCAAAACTATAAAGATAAAAGGAAAAAGGTTATGTAAGGAAGCCTAATTCTTAGCTTCATGTTGACTATTGAGAGTTAATTCTAGAGATAGCCTTAATTAGTCCACAGTGTGACATTTCTCAGACATCCCCTAATTATAAGGGACCATGCTAGGCAATAGGGTGCTGGAAGAAGACAAATGACATACACCTTCATCCAAAATACTAATGACAATAGTTATCTATGATGATAATTTATATTTTTATAATAGAAGCAGCTAACATTTTTCTAGTGTCTTAACATCAACATAGTAATTCATATCCAGAAAGACTGACTTGGTTGGGAAATGATACAGTTGAGACTGGAGCACACGTCTCCTAACTTTGAATTCAGTGTCTTTCCTGTTTGCCTATTACTTCTACTTGTTTTTAGCATTGGTATTTTCTAGATCAGACTAGAGGGTTCTGATCAAAAGAATGACAAAATTTGAATTTGACAGGGAGGGATTATCACAAAGCTTCTATAAAACACATGTTTTATGCTAGTTAGGAGTAATTAACATTACCTTTTCTCAGGATCTTGTTGCAAACAGAGCTGTACCAAGCTAAAGAAGGCAGGAGAGAACGTTTTTGAGGATGGCGTTTGCAATCTGTCGCTATTGACCGTGCGAGTTCCACTGGAGGCAAGTACACTTTCTCCAATCCCAGAATCTATACCAGATCGGGAATTTTTCATTCTGGATTCTGACTGAGGGAAAATACTGATATCTAAAGGGCTATAAGGAGGACCTTTCAGTTTCTGTAACAGCATCTACACAAGGAAAAAAGAAAAGAAAAATTCCTTTAGTGATTTTCAGGCAAAATAGTCAAACAACAAAATTTCCTTACAGTCTATGGCAGTAGTATTTAACAGGAATTATCTAGAATGTAAGGGCTTTTAGGAAAGGAAAGCAGTTCCAGGATTTTCAGAGCATTTACCTGAGTCCTGTGCATGTCCTGGAAAGGCACCTGCCCACTGGCCAGTTCACATGCTGTAATCCCAACACTGTAAATGTCTGACTTCACGCTATATCCATGCAAGTCCTGCAGAATAACTCATTTGAAGTCTTTTACTGTAAATAACTTAAAAAGTTTCATACATTTGCTTTTTTCATGCAAAACTTGAGAACAATAATGGAAAAAACACAAGTGTTTTAGGTCTATGTTGACAAATAACATCAACATAGACCTAACATTTGGTATACATTTAAAAATTCTAACATAATTTTGACAAGAGAAAAGTCTTACAGTAGGCTATTCACCAATCTGAGTATAAAGGCCCCAAAATGCCCACTAGCCAAGCTCTGAAGACACTTACGATGCACACACAACCCCATGCAGTGGCCACCTGACCTGCCTCAGTAGTTCTGGACTCAGCCACGGCTGCACCGATGTGCTGAATGGTGGGAACTCAAACACTGCTCTGTGCCTCTGTCCGTGCTTAACCAAGCTATGCAGGTGGGACAGGCCAGAGAGGGTCACCAGGCCGTCACCAGAAATGAGGATGTGACTGGCTTTAATACTCCTAGAACAAAAAGAAACAATTCTAAATACTAGCAAATTGGCTAGCAAAAGAAAGAATAAAAATCTGGTCAAAACAAATGTAGATATTCTCTTGGAAATGAAATGCACTTTATAAACAGCAGCACACTCTTATGTATACGCACATACATGGAATGTTCAGGGAACTAAGGAATCCTTTCAGTTATTTAACACAGCATCAGAATAATGGAAGATATAACAGAAAACTACATGTTTGAAAGTGAACACATTTTTTTTTCAAGTTAGGACTGTAATCAAATGATGACTATCACTATTTTACAATGCTGTTGTAAAACTTAAGGAGACATCTAAAAGTTCACTAATATTTGAAGCCAAAAATCATAATTTAAAGTTAATGGCAATATTGTTCATCCTAAATTACCATTTATAAAGATATGTTTTACATTAAAAGTTCCCTTTATTATCAAATTATAAAAGAATATTATTTTGGGATCCAAAACACTGAAGAAACCAATAGAGAAGAAAGGCCAGCAGTCAAGTAAAGGATAATAAAACCTTAATTAATGAGAATCATTTGTTAGAAATCTTCAATTTTGAAGAATGCTGCTAAAAAAAAAACAGTAAAATAAAAAGCTTTAAGGAAGTAGAAATGAATAATAAGCAAACAATATTATCTAAAAGTAACTTAATTAACAAGGAAACTAAAGTCCCAGTGAATCTTAGAGGAGTGCTGTTTTTAGCATTTAGCCAACTATTTCAGCATCTACAGTTAGGAAATGGGCTGAAAAATATTTAAGAATTCTAAGAAATGTCAAGTTACCATTTGTACGTGATATAAATATGACATAAAGCTGAAAAGCAGATAAAGAAGTTCTTTATTCACTTAAGCAGATGAAACGACAGGCCCTAGAGTGACATAACAAACCCCAGAGCTAGACTGAGACCTGAGCACCATGTGACAGGCCCTTCATCCCAGCACTGAGCCTAGCACTTGGCACGGAACAGGCAGCCCGGTGGTTTTGGTGAATAAACAACAAATAGAAGCATTTACTATAACGTCTTCCCTCGCTTTTCATTTACAAGTTTCTTAGTTCTCCTTTCTAACACTCAAGTGCTCTTTCCTAAGAGCCCTAAAAGATTTCTTCCATGAAAGTTCCTTCATTCTGCAAAATATAAATAAGAAAATAAATACCTGTGAATACAGCCATTTTGGTGTAGATAGTTCAGCCCTCTCACTGCTCCAAAGAGAATGTTTCTTATTAAAGTTTCACTCATTCCTTCAGGAAAATAAGTTCTCAAGAGTTGACTTGCTGAACCTAAAAGAAACCCCTGAGAGCTTTAAGTGAACATTGAAAGTAATTTTGCTTCTGTGTTTGAAATGTTCTTTTAACAATAAACATACACTCACACATCTGTTGCTTTTTAGAGTTTAACCAATTTCCTATGCAAAGATATAGTTATCTTTCAAAAGTCTTCTTAAAAATTTCTTCTAATGATATTCTAGATATTTAGAAAATGAACAATGTTCAATATTACTGAAAAAATACAACTCTGTGGGGGGGGTGCATATATTAGAACATATAAATTCCAAACATACAAAGTCCAAAAGCAATTTGTAAAAGTTGTCCTAAAAATCAAAGCTCTAGAATCCATTCACTTATTTATTCAACACAGTTACTGAGTACTACTTTGCACTAGGTACCATGTGAGCACCTGGGACATCAAAATGAAAATTTTATTTTGATGTCCTCAAGAAGCTCAAGTCAAGTGCAGGAGACAGGCACATGTAGAAGTTCACAGCATCTTGAAATAACTTCAGGAGGTAGTGAAGCAGGGGCAGGGAGGTGAGCACAGATGGAAAAACTCCTTCTGCCAGAAAAATAGTAATAGCTCTTCACTGAGAGAGAGGAAGAAGTGAAAAGGCAACAGCTTGTACAAAGCAGTGGTCTTCTTGGAGAAGCAGTGGTGGTCTCACAGATCACATTTATTCTGTATTTTTCTGAAGACCAAAATTCAAGATTAACCAGTAAAAATATATCATAAAGTCTAGAACTGATCATCAGATTTACAATTGAAAGATGTGAACCCTAAATCTAAGATCCTATTCATACTTATAATAACAGCACCCAGGCAAAATGATGAGTCTTTTATCTAAAATGAGTTTTCTTACCATAGGCCATGAATGGAGAAATAACCCAAAGCCAGCTGCCAACAGTAAAAACTGTCCAGTAGGTTGTAATATTGGGATGCCGGAAAAAGTGGGATAGAATTACTGCTTTCTAGGACAGAAAAACAAAAGACAAGATATTTAAAAGCAAAGTTTTCCCCTCTTATGATGAAGATAACAGCAGTAGTGGGCAGCTAGACTCAATGGGGCTTTTCAGAGCTAAGAACTCAACAGTACTAACTCTTTAACACTCACCACGGGGCCTTTCCAGTGGAACAAGGGGTTAAGCTAACCACAACCACTGCAGCACATGTTCAATCCCCAGCAAGGGAGGTGACCCACATGGCGCAGCAGACCTCTCCTGTCTTGCCTGCTGCTCCCCTCGGCAGTATATTTCATAGATATGCTTGTTCTGTTCCCTATCCTGTCTCTGGTATTGAATTGTCTCACATGCACTCCCCCACCCCCTGCACCTCTGGCCTACACCCCAGCTCTTGTATGCATAAATAAATAAGTCTTAAAAAAATAAAACTCACAACCATTGCAGTATATGATACTCTCACTTCTCAGAAGGAGACACTTAGAAATACGTCAGAAAGCTTGTCCAAGAGTACATATTAATAAATAAGTGGAAGTGTGATGTAAACTTAGATAATGTGCCTCCAGAAGTCATATCCTTAATAATTATCTTTTTTATTAAAGAAACATTTAAAAATTAAAAATAAAGATTAAAGTCACTTCCATACTACATCACAGAGAGAAGCACTCAGCATTTTGGTATAATTTCTTTCAATCTTTTCTGTGCAGTAGCCACGTGCACATAGAAATAATTTAAAATTTAGGGAATAAAAAAATCCTTACCCATTTTTTTTATCAAAAATGATTAGTGACAATTAAAATAGCATACTAATAAACCTGAAATGAAATTTTGTTACAATCAATTCAGAAATTAATTTTATTTAACTGGTTGAAAGGAAACTTTGCTTTTTCCTGTTTTCTTCCATTTCCCTATATGATTACTGAGACAGGAGTGTTGTAAGTATGCAGACCTGCATTTTGCATATGATAAACACTTGAAAGCAACGTTTGAATGTTTGTTCTTTCCCAGATCTGCTAGCAAGTATTCTTTCTAATTCTGTAATTGCTTCTTAATTAGAAGAAACCTACTTTCTCAACAAAAAGAACTATTAATTTGGGGGGAGAGGAATTCTTACATGTATACTCTCCTCTGATAGGCATGACAGTAAATGGGTAATTTTTTAGCATTGTTACCTGTAAAGCTTTCAGGCGTTCTTCAGTACAGTTTTCCAGATTTGTAATTTTGATCGTCACCAGCGTTCCTGTAGGCGTATGCCGGGCCAGATGGACTGACGTCAAGTTGTCAAATCCTCTTCCTACAAGTACAGGAAAAACTTGTGTTAGCAACCAAAGGAAAACAATTGATAATTGATAATTCTGTGAATTAGCTATAATGCTCGAAAGATTGTTTTTTTTTTGTTGTTGTTTAGATTATTTCCTCTTACTTAAAACAAAATACAGACTGGAACACTTAGCAAATTTTCCTCACTCTTCATGCCCTTTTTGCTATCTTGACCCACAGGTAGTTGGCTGGATGCACCATCTTCTCTCTTCCTATTAACACTCAGCTCTCAGCTCCACTATAGGGGCCTCTTGTATGTTATACAAAGTTTTCTTATGTGTTCACCTTCTCAGAGAGGATTACTCCTCAAGCATTTTATATGGCTTTATATCCCTCCAACCTAGAATAGAGTTTAACTGGTATTTCTGAATAGAGGAAATACCCATAAGGATCAACCTAAAGAAAGTAATTTAGTTAAAGAACTGTAACTGAAAATATTTATGTGATTTGATTTAAATTCATATACCCAGTATAGATTATAGCCATAAAATTAGAAGCTTCCAGTAACAGAGACACAAATAAATAAATATTTAGGTTATTCAGTATCTTCTTCCTCAGTTGCACTTCATGAAAAAGTAAAGTTCTAAACATTAAAAACTGGGAAACTAGGATAGACATAAATTAGTATTTTCATTTGTCTGACATAATTAACATCTTTCTTTATTCTCTAGGTGACATCAGAAAAAGACCTGCCTATAAAATAATCTTTTGTCAACAATTTCATTTCTCGCAGTAAAAGGTCAATTATGTGAAATCTGGGATTGATACCTATTTCCACTTGGAGCTCATAGTGAGAAACATTGGTGGAACAAATCACTCCACTGGTTGTTTTAGATGAAGGCAGCCAGGAATGGGTTGGCTCATCGACCTGCATTGTTTTAAAAAGATGAAAGCAAAATAGGTAATAAACTTTTTGGGTCCCCTCATTCAAAATGAAATACTGATATTTTTCAAACATACAAGTGATCACTAGGATGGCACTGGATGTTAGCTTTAAGAGATTTTTAAAATTTAAAAAGGGTTTAGAATTAATGTTAGAATGCTCTCAGCCTGGAAAGGGAGAGAGGGCAGGAAAAGCAGATTTACAGGTAGTGAGGAATACTTTCTAGCATTTTCTAGTAAACTCTTCAGAGCAGCTAATAAAAATATACAGGATACTGTATGCTGTGTTCTTGCTTCAAGTGCTTGCCAGTTATATCTATCACACATACAGGTGCTTGCTAGCTAGTGGTAGTGTTAACAGTCATGGAAAACTTCCACATTGCAGCCTATTACTCAAGCAATTTCTCACATGATAAGATGAATCAGAATAAGATCAAAGAGAAAAGTAAACCTCAAGAGTGGGAAAACAGGTACAGAAGTCTTGAGTTAATTTAACTGTATCAATAGCAGGACTTCACACGAGGCTGTAGAGTCAGAGTGGAGGTTTGTGCCATCAGTAACATGCAGACAGAAAGAAGAGGTCACATCCCTGATGTCATATGATAGCCATAAGGCTCTCCCAAAGGATACCAGTATTCCAAGACACTTAGGAACCTTTACAGGCACTAGCAGGTGGTAGGAATCTTGTTACTGCCTTCAGGAAAGAAGGGGGTTAGAAATGACATTACTATGTGCTAGGAATTATGCAAACTATTTTTATATCCTTGATTCTACATGATCTCTCTCTAAAATGTTAAGGGAACAGAAAAAATATAATTATAAGCTCATAGTTAAAGAGGAATAAAGGTGGATATTTTAAAAAGATGATAGACTATAAAAAGAAATTCTAAGTAATTAGAAATAATTCCAATGAAGAAAGAAATCTATATAAAGCAATTTAATTTTTTTAGAACAGCCTTCAAATAAACTATGATTTAAAGACTATATGTCTATAAGACATAGAAAGAAGAACAATTGTTTTAACATGAAGTCATAATTCTATGAAGGCTAGAATACAGAATTAAACTGAGACTTCCCATTCGCTATTGGAAAATAATGGCATGATTTACTAAAGGATGGGGTGAAAGCAAGCTAAGCAACCTCACCTTGTTTCCATTTCTTACTTTAGAGAAAGTTTTTGAGCTTAGAAGGAGGGCATATGTTGTAAAACTGACTGAAGCCCAAAACTGGCTATTAAATAGGTTCAAAACTCCAGGCCAAACACACTATATGTAAGATAACTAAGTTTGCAAATAAAGTAGAATTCAGACAAGAAATCATAATGGAACCGGCCACACATTGACCTAATTTTCAGAAAGAGAAAACCAAAAGGAGCAAGTTTGATACAGCTGCCCACTAAACTAACATCAAATTATTAAATGAATGGATTATAGACACTGAAGGTAATAAGCAATGTAATAACAAGAAAACAATATAGGTTTACTGTTAAGGGAGGTAAACCTCCCTTCACTATTTGTTTAAGCATTTTAATTACTTTCTAAAAATGCAAAAGATCTGCTTATTTAAAAAAAAATATATGGGTCATGCATTGCTAGACATAGCTAATTACTGAAAGAACAAATCAGAATTCAAAATCATGTTGATCAACTGAAAGAACAGGCCCACCCCAGTAAAATTTTAGAGGAATGTAAAACATTACATCTGAGTTTAAAAAAAAAGTCAACAGTCTAAATACAACACTGAGGATCCCAGCTTCATAACTGGAGGTTTCAGTCTCACAGAGATGGCTACCTGCTGAGCTGTATTTAACAAAGTAATGTGAGCAGATTGAAGCAGTCTCACTCTACTCTGCCATGATTTATCAATATCTGCAGCACATTGCACAACTGGCACACAGAGCTACAGTGGGGCGCTGCAAACTGGATTCCCAGAAAAGATCATCACGTTGCTAAGAGTTCTGGCAACAATGAAGGAATTAGGGATATTTAACGTGGAAAAGGAAATATTAATATAAAGAGAGGTCATTTTCTTTTTTTTTTTTTTTAAGATTTATTCACCTGTGCATACAGAACTGGGGTACAGGCCAGAGGCTCAGGGGCGGTGAGAGGCTTCACCAGAGACAGAGTGGGGAGCAGAACAGGCAGATCTACGAAGTACACTGCTGAGGGGAGCAGCGGGCGGGTCAGGAGAGGTCTGCCACGCCATGTGGTCACCTCCGGGGCAGGCGGGAATCGAACTCATGCGGAAGTGGGTTTAGCTTCTCAGTGCTGTGCTTTAACCCGCTGCGCCACCAGGGAGGGCCAAGAGAGGTCATTTTCAAGTAACTAAGACACTAATGTAGAAGGGTAATGTAACTGTTCCGAGAGCACAGGTGCATTTCACGGACAGAGGCCACAGGAGGCAGGCTGGCAGGCTTCAGAGCAGGCATCAGGCTGCCTCCTCTCACCATCCCCTTTTCCTTTACAAAAAGTGATGCTGGGAAAAGGTAATATCCACAGCAAAAATATGAAGCAGGACCCTTGCCTAAAACCATACATAAAAGTTAAGTCAGAGTGAATCAAAATCCTTTATGTTAAGGCCTGAAACAAAACTGTTGGGCAGGCACAAGCCAAAAAGTTTAATAACACTCTATTTGGCAATGAGTTCTTGCAGATGACACTAGGGCACAGGTAACCAAAAAAAAAAAAAAATTAGACTTCATGACAATTTTATATTGTTGTGCACCAAAAGACACTATCCATAGAGGCAACACACAAAATGGGAGAAAACATTTGCCAAATCACGTATCTGATGAGAGAATAATAGCCAGAATATATAGGGAACTCCTAAAAGTTAACAACAAAATAGACAACCCAATTCAAAGATGGGAAAAAGACAGCTCTCCAAAGACACATAAATGTTAAAAAAAAAAAATGCCCAACATCACTAATTATTTGGAAAAGTGTACAACAAGATATCACACATTAGGATGGTTACTAAAAAAAAAAAAAAAAAAAAACAGAAAATAACAAGTGTTGGCAAGGATATGGAGAAACCAAAACCCTGTGTACTGTGGGTAATGTAAAATAGCACAGCAGCTGCGGATAACAGGATGATGGTTCCTCAAAAAATTAAAAATAGAATTGCCATATGATCAGACATCCACATGTTACTATGCACCCAGAAAAACTGAAAACAGGGTCTTTAAGTTATATTTATACACCCATATTCATAGCTGTATTATTCACAATAGTTATAATACAGAAATAACCCAAGAGTCCATCCAGGGATGAATGCATATACAAAACACAGGCTATACAGACAATGGGATGTTATTCACTCTAAAATAAGAAATTCTTTAATATTTTACAAAACAGATGAACTTTAGGATATACTAAGTGAAATAATCCAGTTACAGAAAAGAGAAATATGGCATGATATTGCTTAAATAAAGTACTTAGAGTAGTCAAAATCATGGAGACAGAGTAAGGCTGGGGAAGGACAAGGAAGGGGTGTGACTATTTAATGGAGACAGAGTTTCATTTTTACATGAGGGAAAGAATTATGGAGATGGACAGTGATGATGGTCACATAACTTGATGAACGTACAATTAAAAATGATTAAAAGAGTAAATTTTGTGGTATTTTACCATCATACAAAAGAAATTCCAAAAAGGAAGCACCTGTGGAAGTTTCTTGAATTCTAAGCTTCTCTCTTGGCAACAGCAAGACAACAACAGAAGCTTTCATTCTCTGAACACCACCTCAACCTGAAGGAAACACCTGAATAAAAATTAAATTTCAAGACAAATGAAGATAGGATGTGAATAAATTGCAAGCAGGATAACCTTCTTTTATCGGAAACAGGATATTTGCAAAGTAGATTGCATCTTGTAATTGAGAATTGAGGTAGAAAGTAAGGGTTAAGTGGAGAAAAGACCCAAAGAAATATTTATTCTCAAGCATGCTTTTCAAAAAATTATGTAGACAGGCATTGCCCAAAGAAGACAAGAGAAAGGATATTTATATCCTATGTCCAATACAGCTACAGAGGCATACATCAATCATGGTGAGAGCTATGATTCATAGTGCAAGCTATTTTACAGGGATGTCTAAGATATGTAGATGTCTAAGATATGTAGATGTCTAAGATATGTAGGCGCATAATGGATTAAAAGGTACAAGAGCACAATCATATATGCAGCATTTCAGCCAAGTCTTTAAAGATGAGTAGAACTTAGAGGCTAATAGAAGGGTATCTGAAAAGCAGAGAGAAGAATATGTACTAAGACTGTAGCAAGAAATGAAACTCAAAAATAAGACATTTTTTTATACCATTAAGAGTCCTTATACCATGCTAAGATATAAGCTGTGGCTTCTCCCCCATAGGTTTTAGGAAACAAATGGAAACTTAAAAGCTTGAAAGTGATACAAACAGGCCCTTAAGGGTAAGAGTTTTGAATATTGATCAGAAAGGTGTGTGTCCATGAAACTAGAGGTAGTAAGTCAACCTGCAACAGTCCAGGTAAAGAGGATGAGACTTGAGCAGTAGCAATGATCTGGTGTAGGGAAGGATGGATTCAAGCGTTATTTTGGAGACAGATTCATCAGACTTGGTGTAGAACTAGACATGGGAGTTGCAGTAGAGGCGGTATGAGGATAACTTCAAAGTTTCTAGTCAGGTGACGTAGTAGACAGGGTCCCTTTACTAGCCAAGTAGGAAACACAAATGCAGATAAAATTTCAAAGAACATTAAGTAGAGATGTCTGAATATTCTAATCAGAAGATTCTCTCCCTGAGAGAGTTTGGAGTTGTCGGTAAAAATCTGAGTATTATCAGTCTTGTTTGATGGCAGGATCCATCATGAGCTGAAGAAAAATCTGAGCAGCTCTAGGACAATCTGGCATCTGAGCAACTGAAGTCAAGAGGAGAATGCACAGGGAGGCCTATTTAAGAAGAATAGAAGACACCAGGTATAGTCTTTGGGAGAACAGCCAGAGCAGAAGAAGAAACAGTAAAAGACACCACAAAGAAAAAGAGAGAGTGGAGTACCAGGAGTAAATGCTGCTCAGAAGGTAAGTGGGGGATAATAGCTTTCTTACCAAGTATTGATGAATGCTGGATTCAGACTGTTTTTCAGGTCTGAGTGATTCAACTTGTGTTCTTGAAGTGCAGAAACAATCCTGGAAATACAGAATTGCATTAAGTAAGTAAAAAATGAGTAACATGATAAGCTGAGGTTGTTTATAGAAAGAACATGGTCTGGTGATTGAGGTAGAGCAGAGGGAAAAGGGAAGGATGAAGGAACTGGAACTGACGAAAGGATCCATACTGTCAAGGTAGTCAGTATGGGAGGGAAGGGTAGGTAGCAAGGTATGCAGAAGACAAATTTCTTACCTGTTGTAATTTTACATTTGAGACTGTCTCTGATCCCTGTCCTCTTGTCTCTGAATGCCATAATATCAATCATTTTTATTGCTGGTCTTATTTTTTAAAAGATTTATTTATTTATTCATATAGAACTGGGGTATAGGTCAGAGGTGCAGGGGTGGTGAGAGGCTACACCAGAGACAGAGTGGGGAACAGAACAGGCAGTTCGACGAAGTACACTGCTGAGGGGAGCAGCGGGCGGGTCAGGAGAGGTCTGCCACACCATGTGGTCACCTCCGGGGCAGGCGGGAATGGAACTCATGCTGTAGTAGCTTTAGTTTCTTAGTGCTGTGCTTTAACCCACTGCACCACCAGAGAGGGCCCCACTGGTCATAATTTTTAAGCTTTTTGTTGTCTTTGTGGCTTTATTCCAAATACTTAGCTAAAGATTATTCTTACAGTCATTTTTACATTTTTGATTTTCAGATATTTAAGTGTGCAAACCATGTTTATCTACATTAAACCACACACTGAATGTTTCTTAAAATGGGAAACATCTCTAACTGCAGCCAAAGCAAATTAAGAGACTTAGTTCCATTATCACAATTTACATATTCTTGCATTTCACCTCATGATCCCACTATCACATATTGCCAGTAAAGAAATGCTATATCTTCATGTGACTTATTCATTAGCACTTAGTGGATGAAGCTGATTATATTTTATTTAGGAAGGTATGTCAAAAGAAAAGTATAAAGAAATTAAAAGATACTTTTGTAATAACTTTCTAGTACCTTATGGACATTCATTTTTATGTGAATTATTACATATTATAACACTAAGTGATATTATAATATTAAATAAGACTTTAAGGAGAAAAGTCCATTCATGTCTATGTAACACTTTGTAGTTGGTTACTTAAAAGTAATGAAACTTCCTTTCTCTTAAAATATGCCCGAATTTCCCAGGAAAAATAAGTCATTTTTCCAATTAGCCTAAATTACTGAATATTTTAAACTGAATACCTGTAGTCAATGTACTTTATCAGTCTTGTCACAGTTTGATACATATGCCCTGTTTTATAAAACTCACCCTGAAAAACTGAAGCTAGCAATGTCAAGGTAAGTGTAGAGTCATTTCCTTTGAAAATTTTCTACTGGCTTGTCTAAAGTGAACAAACTTGACAACAGTTTTGAAGATACTTATTACTGTTGTTCATACTAAAAATAACCATGTTAGGTCATTTATATATTACATTTGGCCTTTATATATTTTTGCAATATTTACCCTGAAATTTTCACACTAATTCTTAACACCATTGTGCAGAGAAGAGTTAACACAGCAGGCCTAAATCTGCTATTCTTAGAAAAGACACACGTTTCAGGGTGATACTTGGCTAGTATCTGGGAATTTGGATTTTAGGAAGGTCCCCATCAACCCCTAATAAGAACAGTAACAGTGCCTTCAGTGACTGTGCAAACAGTATGCTGAACTACTGTTCCTTTCCTGGGAATCTGGAATGCTGTTACCTGCTAGCAGAAGGTGACATGACCAACTCCAAAAAAATTCTGAGAACGAGTCCAGAATTGTCTGGCAACATTTTACATGTGGTAATTCTGAGGGAAGTGAGCACATTCTATATGACTCCACTGGGAGAGGATTCTTGAAAGCTTGAATCTGATTTCTTCTGACCACTCCATATACCTTTTTCCCTTTTCTGATTTTTTTGTGTATCCATCTGTCACAGTAAATGTTGGTTGTAAGTTTGACTATATGCTAAGGAGCCCTTCCAGCAAATCACCAAACCTGGAGGACCTCTGAAAAACTAGCAAAATGTATTCGAGCATATTAAAAAAAAAACTTAGTATTTTTTGATGGAAGAGAAGATTAAGATATCTGTTGGCATATGAAACTTTGGTTGATCGTAATTTGTTTTCAAAATAAGAGTTGATCTATGTTTTCAATTTATAGAAATAAAGAATACATTTTGTAACATGGTAAAATTTCATTTTATTAAATTTCCATAAAATTTTCACAGCACAAGAGAGGGATCACTAAAATATATGAAGACAGCTAAAACCAACCAGTATGATAAGGCATACTATTTTTAAGATTCCTTCTAAAAAATGTTGGCATGTTCATTGGCATCCCAAGTTATAAAAATCAGAAAATAGCCCACCTTATCCTTCAAAATACTTTTATATCCACAATGACTCAATTGGATGCTGGTGAACAATAGAGTTCATTTAAAATCTACACATAAATCTTTCTTGGGCAGCACAATGATTTAAAACCATCCACAAGAAAACTCCCCTAAAATATTTTTCAATGAAAAAAATGTAATTTTAATGTAACTTTTTTACACATTACCATAAAAACTATGTGAAAAGAAGTTTTACCTTATGAGAAATATTTTATTTATAATGCTTCTTTTGAAAACACAATTGCTGTCAAATAGAGAGGAAAACAGGATTGGGGAGGAATGCTTATTAAATAAAAACATCAACTTCACCTCAAGTTGTACAAAGATCTCATTTAGGAAAAAAAAATTTTGATTCAAGGGATTCTAAATATTGCATCATTGCAGGAAGACTATAATTGAAAGTAAAACCATTAATAAATCCAGCTAATATATACCAACATCATATTATTTTTTACAAAATCCCTAACTATGGGATAAAAGATTAAGAAAATTGGGAGCACTGAGCAGCTGCACAGCCCTCTGAATCTCATGATTTTCATCTGTTAAATGCCCTTTCACATTTCTTCCAACTTATAAACTGATGTAAAGCTGTTACTCTTAAGTAATTTTTTAGAGCAAGGGTCAGCAAAGTGTTCCACAAGCCACAGCTGATCCACCACCTGTTTCAGCAATCAAGTTTTACTGGAATACAGACAGGTTCATTTTCATTCTTTTACTTACAGCTTATGGCTTGCCTTCACAGTGTTAACAGCAGAAGAGTAATTCAGCAGAACACACAAATACTATTTGACCCTTCACAGAAAAAGTTGCCTGATCTCTCCTTTAACAAGTGAGGTAGGAACTTCACATTCATATATTTTCCCAATATATTTAGTTCTCCTTCCAAATAGAAAAGCTTTTCTTTAAATATAAAGTAAACGCAGTCTGTATTTTCCATATAACTGACAATAGTTTCCCAATTTCATAGCTCTGCTTTCAGACTTGGCAAATGATGGAGTGGTTTGGCAGACATGAATTTGAGCTCTGGCTCTTAATCTTTGCAGTCTTGGGCCAAACAAAAAATGAGGATCATAACATCTATTCTGCCAATCACAATTTTGAAGGCTAAAAGAGCTGTAATATATTAAAACTATTTATAAACTTTCTAAAAAATCGCTCACTGCCAGCCCTCCCTGGTAGCGCAGCAGGTTAAAGCACAGCACTGAGAAGCTAAAGCCACTTCCGCATGAGTTCGATTCCCGCCTGCCCCGGAGATGACCACATGGCATGGCAGACCTCTCCTGACCCGCCCGCTGCTCCCCTCAGCAGTGTACTTCGTAGATCTGTCTGTTCTGCTCCCCACTCTGTCTCTGGTGAAGCCTCTCGCTGCCTCTGAGCCTCTGGCCTATACCCCAGTTCTGTATGAATAAATAAATAAATCTTTAAAAAAAAAACAAAAAACACTTACTGCCTTAATAAAATAATTCAAATTTTCAATATTGTATTATATTCTATGACACAATGAAAGTCCTAAAATGACTTAATCCTAAATAGATATTATGTATCTAATGCAAACAGAAAAGGAGTTGGCATCTTTACATCATATTCTATTTTGATCCAAATGTTTTTTGTCTAATGGTTTAGTCAAGGGGATTTTGTTGCCTTTAGTCACATTTATAAATATGATTTTTGAGAGATTTAAAGGATAAGTTAACTGGATGGGAGAGGCATATCTAAGTACAGCATTTATATGAAAGAAGTGGGTATGGGACAAAGGAATAGAATAATGAGTCTATCAGAAAAGCATAGAGAAACTATTAAAGAGAAAAAAAAAGTCAGTAAGAAATTAACTCATTTCTTAGTCCAGAAGTCATTCTGGTCAAAATGGCATCTCAGAGCATATGACTATGCCATCAGAATACAGAATATATATCTTTATCCTGGCCTGGCACTAATCTAAGTACTCTAGTGGTACAAAATTAGGTCCATGTTAGAAAAACTTACCAAAAGAGACATTGAATCGCTTTAGTTCACAGAAAGTGACAAGAATCCATTTATTCCAAAAGAGACTTTTGCTTTATCTTCAAGATGCAGAAATACCCTCTATTAAAAACAAAAGCAAAATACTTTAGATTTACAAAAAGACCCTGAAAGAATTAATTGACATAAAAACATGCAATATTTAGGCAGCTGTTCTATGACACAAGGTGTACCTGGAAAGTGCTGTTAAAGAAAGTTTCTGTTTCCTGAACACTATGCGATCTGACATCACAACAGAGAAAGTGAAGTTGAAGGGAGGTTCTGAATATTTCCAAACCCTTAAAATACCTGACTTGCCTTCCCTAACTTTTCTGTACTACTTTTACTTATAGAACTCTAAGCAAATAGGAAAGCAGTATAGAAAAGCAACATTGGACCCACTTTTGATATAAATGTGCCACTTACAAATGTACTCCAAGAATTTCCAATGATCTACTTATTAATTTTGAAGTTTCCAAGTCTTCCTAATTGGAATAATTGATGACTTATTAAATTATTTGAGGTCCCTGATCAGCAAATTTGGAAAAGAATCAGGATCTGTAACAAACTAGGAATTAACATTTTCTTATTGCCATGTTTGAAAAGATAATTTTTTTTTTCAGTTTTGAAGTGAAAAATATTTTCTGGAGGTTAAATTTTTTTTTTTTATGATTCTGAGCTCTCAATTCAATTCTTGGAATTTACTGACAGATATGAAAGATATGCAGATTATTAACAAATAATTCCTATCCACTTTCACCAACACAGTTTTACTCTCAAATGTTTATGAAGACTCTGCAACATATTCAGAAATTTAAAACAGTAACTTCTTCAAATTCAAAAAGCTATTAAAACACCACCAAAATTTTCCAGATCTTTCCTATTGGAATGGTGATAATGTTCTAAACTTGCCAATACCTGGCTAGTTATTTATACTTAACCAATATTTTTGCCTCTTTCATCTAAATTGTACTTCATTATTTCATTTTAATAAAATCACCAAGTTTGATCAAGGTATCTACAAGTATCTGAGCAAAATAAGAAAAAAAAAGATTTTGTAAACCATAGTTACTTTATAAAGCAATAGCCAATCTCATTGTTAAGATGTGGGTTCCTTGAGGATCTTCCCTCCAAACCATAGGTAGAAAAAGAAGATCCTATAAAGGTGTAATGATTTGGTGACTTACTGTCACCAATTTTAGATACTATAGTTTGCTGTGTCACAAAAGAGGGAATAAAATATCTACCCTGCCCACCTTCTGGGGTCACTGAGATCAAATGAGATATTTTATCTGAAAGTGTTTATAACTACAAATATTGTGTGATATGAGCTTGAATATATATGTGTATATATGTATATGTGTGTTTATATGTGTGTGTATTTGTGTGTGTGTGTGCGTGTGTATATAAAAGAGTCTGAGAGGGTGCTATTAAAGGGACACTCAAATATTTCTGGTAGCAGTACAAAATGGTAAGGTTCATTGGGAGAACAAGTTGGCAATGTTTTCATACACCATGCAAAATGGTTATAACTTGTGAATCAGTAAAATTCTTATTTTCAGTCATTTATTCTAAGGATACAGTCAGGTAGTAGAAGAAACCACATGCACAGAGAGTCATTACATGTTTATCTGAAAAAGTCATACAGTCAACCCACAGTGTTTAATGAATGGCCAGGGTCAGGAGTTATGGGCCCTGAAAAAGGCCTGGCACGTGCTGTTTACATTCCTACAAACAGAAGTGTAGGGTTGTCATGATTAATGGAATTTTCTGATTATCAGAATTTTGTTTCCTACTCTTTCCACTTAAGTTCTTAAGTTCTTCAAAAAAAAAAAAGCTACCAAAACTGAAATCCATTTACATTGTCTATTTTTCAGAAAAACTCAGAAGAAATGAATGCAATCTGTAAGAACTATAATACTAAAAGAAGCTGTCCCTGCTGGTGTTTTAATCCCAAAGGTTTTTGTTTTAGATATGCTAGACTAGTAAAAGATAAATTTACAAGACATTTTGAGGTCAAGGCAGCGGCTGCACCTGGTGAGCGGCAGTGAAGAGATAGATTTACTGTCTTAATTTTCTCCTGCATGCTCGTTCACTAGATGTGAACATAAATCCTTTTTTAAAATAATACTTAAAAACCTTTATTGCTAAATGTATTCACAAGTACTTCAGTGGGGTCTGGGGTATCTAAAAAACTAATTATAATATAGGTTTATAAATAACTTAAATTGTACTTTTGTGCACAAAAGGTCAACATTTTCTGTGAAAATCAGAAGGGGCGTCTATTTATAGAATCGGGTTCTTAGTTAATGTAACCATCCAACAGAAGCCATTGTTACAGAGAATGCAAAAATCCTATTCCTTTGTTGCGCTTTATAATTACTGTAATTTTCAGTGATCTTGGGAACCCGTAAAATCTTAAAAATTACAGAGACGCACAACTCAATAGAATATTCCAAACTTAGTATCATGACTCATATGTTAAAAAAATATTTACTAAGCGCCTACTGTATGCCAGGCTTTGTGCCGAGTTAGGCGCTGTGTCACAATTCCTGATCAAGTTTTGAGGGAAAAGGTACTTGCCACCACAAACCCACCAGGGAAAAAACAGAACGGTGAACTTAAAGACCGAGGTCAAAATGAAGGTTGAGCATTTAATTTTTGTAAAAGGTGCCTTCGTCGTCCTAGTGACAGGTACGTAAACCCTCTCCTAGATTGTCTCGGGTTTGGAAACGCCGCGGGGCGCAGGAACGTAACCAAAGGTGAGCGCACTCGCGTCCCGCGCACTTGGAGTCGCAACCCTAGCAGACATTGCCTGCCAGGCACGCAGGTGCCTACCCCACTCGGCGGGCAGAGGGGGCCGGCTCAGGCGGGACCGCTTGGGGCGCAGGGGCTGCTCACCACTCCCGGCTAGACTCAGGTCACGGCTCCGCCGGCTGCGGGGGCTGGGGCTGGACACCAGGCAGCGAGTTCTAATTCCCGGCTTCCTGAGGCGAGCGCGGACAGAGCAGCGCTCGGTCACGTTCCCGATCGCCCCCGAAACCTGTCCCTGTCGGGCACGGCCTCACCTCTTTACCTGGCTGTGACCACGGCGGAGTGACTGTCCTCAGACTGTCAGGGTGGTGGAACTGAGCGGGCTAGGGAGCCCGGCCCGCTGAGAGGCAGGGCAGGCGAGCAAGGCCCGCTCCCAGCGCTGGCCAGCAGGCGCAGCTGAGCGGCACGACCCGGGCTGGGGCTGTTGGCCTGGAACTCTGCCCCAGCCCCAGGCAGCCAGCCTGGACGGGACTCGCCCCTCCCGGGCCCCCGGGGTCGCGGCCGCGCCTCCCGCCCCCGGGCTAAGCAGCAGGGGGCGGGGCCTTCGGGCGGGGGCGGGGCCTACACGAAGCTACACCATCGGAGGGTGAGGGGCGGGGCCAACAGGAAACTACAATTCCCAGCAGGTCCGCCATTGACGCCGCGGAGGCTGCTGGGAGAGTGGGACTCCCTCGCTCTTCCCCAATCGTGCATAGTCTGCTATTGACCCGGCGTCGCAGCGAAACCGAAGTCGCCGAGTGATGATGTTGTGAAGTCGCCTGTCCGTCTCTGCCACGCCCGGGCGGTTACTGGCCGCGGCGGTCGCTTCTGCTGCTACTCTCAAGCTGCTGCTGCTGCTGCTCCCTGCTGCTGCCTTACAGGCTGCTTCCTGAGCGAGCGCCGGCGAAGGACGAAGGACGCAGGGCTGTTCCGGTGAGTAACCTTCTTGCGCATGACCCGAACTTGCCCTTGCCAACTTCCCCGGCAAGCAGAGGAGCTTCCTTGCCGGGTGTTTCTCCCGGTCCTTGGAGGTCACATTCCGACAGCCGAGTTGGAGTCTAGACATGGGAGGGCAGAGTCCTCCCTGGGTCTCCAGGCAGCAGTGGGAAGAGCGTTGTTACTGAAGAGTGGGTGCGAAGAGATGAGCGCAATTCACCCCACTTGCATGTCTGAGGATTGGCAGCATCTCAGCCTCTGCGGTCCAGCATCCTCCGGGAGCCCCATCCTAAAACGATGAGCAGCTTTAAAACCTTAAGCCTCGGTGACCATCTGTGATGTGAGCTAGAGGAAAGGATACTCGAAAGAGCTTTCTAGGTTGAGTCGAATTGTAATTGATTTTGAGCCAGGCACCACACGTCTTTTAAAAGAAACGATTGACTTCAGTTTCCAACGTAACTAAGGCATATTGGCAGATGTCCCCTTTAGTGTCAGCATAGAGATATCCTCCCAAACACTTAAAAGATTTCTGGGTCATAATAAAAGTGATGAATTCAGCGACTTGCCTACGCACCTTTCATTTAAACCTGCAGTTTCTGCACCGAAAACCAAAACAAACCAATAACTTTCTACTGAAAATTCTTCAAGCTAGAGTGGTCCCTAGGAACAAAACGAAACATATACTTCCTGTTATTTATCTGTTTTCGTACATTTTCCCCGACATTCAGATCTTTGCTGTGGTTTTGGAAGTCTAAGCTACAGGGATCTCCAAATAGAATGTTAGTGGTGGTGGTGGAGGTGGTGGTGACACTTCAAAACAAACCGTGAAGGACATTTAGTGGCAGGGAAAGGCAGAGAGGAAGACAGCTTATCATGCCGCTAGTTATTCCAACTTTCTATTTTTAAGATTAACTGTCTTTCAACAAGTCTCAGACACTCAGCAAACACATATGAAAGACAGTATTCTATTAATTTACCGAATTATGTTCAAGCTGTTGGAAAAGGGTGGGAAAATTTTAAATTGAGCAAATTTTAAGTCAGGGACCAGACACCTCAATTATGAACTCTGCATACATTCAATCCTTTAATCACTGTAATAACTGTACTATACTAATCTGAGGCTCAAAGACTTTGCTTATGTAACATGTGGAGATTCAACCTAGATCTGCCTTGCTTCGAAGTTACAGGTTGGATAATTTGTACCCACTTCAGAAATTACTGACCTCAGATTTGGATGATTGAAAAGTATTTTCCAGCTTCCTAGTACTGGTTCCTCACCAGTATTGATAACTTGAACAATAAAAGTAAATCCTGGACATTCAGGATAAATCCTGATCCCTTGCTTACTTTTTTGCACTTTTGAACAACTTGTTCTCTGCCTATAATTCCTGTTCCCTGCAGAGCTGCACAGTAAGACCTAAAAGCTCATTCCAAATCCAACTCTGTTTACTTATGTAAGGCATGCTAGGATTGGATTTTCATTCTTAAACCTGCTTTCCAGTTCAAAGATTTAGTAATTCTATGATTGAAAATATGAGCCAAAAAATGTTATTCTCCAGTGAAAGGGGTTAACATCTATAACCAAAAGAGTAGAAAAACATGTCTTAAATATTTTAGTTCAATACCTAAGTTATGTTGAATGCCAATATAAGGAATGACATAGCCAATCATATATTATTTCATATTTACTTTGAGTTCTGTTTGTATCATCACTACCAGTTCTTGAACCTCTTTAGTGGTCATCCTGCTTAGTTGGTAAAAAATGTGAGGCATTAAAGTAATACATTTTAAATGACTTAGTAATTGAAGAAACTAAATTATTCATGACTTCCAGTCATAACCTTTCAGACTACAGTGTTCTTAGCATATTGAGAACATTTATTTAATACTTACTGTGTGTTAGATAGCAATCTAAATGTTTTGCCTACATGAACTTATTACAGTACCACTATGAAGTGTTTTTATATAGGCAACTAAAGCAAAGACCGGATAGTTATATTCGTATTAATTGTGGTGGAGAATGGATTAAAAACGGTAATACTATAGGTAAAGATAGCACTTAGGTGTATTTTACCAAAGAAAGGTGAACTAAAGATTTTCTTGGAATTCCAAAATACCAAAACAAAACAGAAACATTACTAATATGAGGAAGACTATAGCCAGTACAACTAACTTCAGGAATTTGTATTCTTTTTTTTTTTTTAAACATATAGACTGGCTTTACTATTGAGCTTTTGCTTTCCATGAATAAATAAAGCCTTACTCAGAATATTTAGTATTACAGAATATTTAGTATTTTTCCACTGCCCTTTACCTACCAGATACCCCCATTCTCATCATCTAAATGTCTTTCAGTCCTTGAGAAACCCACTTAAATCTTACATTCAGCATGAAGCCAGAACCCTCTTTAGCTAGAAAAAGAGCTCTCACTCCTCCCTCCCTGGCTATCTATAGAACAATTCTTTTCTAATACTCTTTACATATATATATATATGTAAATAATCTAGTGGTGGTATCTTATTTTCTTAGCTTTTACAGATCATTAGATATCTTAACTCTTGAGCCTCCCTTAGGGCAGAGACTGTTTTGTAATTTTTGTCTCTCTCCTGTACTTTTTAATTTAATTCAAGTGGCATTTATTGAAAGCTGCCCAGTTAGCAGCTGCTTGACCTGTTGTTAAGTGAGATCTTATAATTGAAATTTCCATTCTAACCAGTGTCTTAATATGTAACATTCTAACTTTATTCCTAGTTTTACTCTGACTCATGTAACCTTGAGGATATACTGCTTAACCACCCAGTATTATGATTTCATCATCTAGAAAATGAGCATACAAAATCTCCTTTTGGTATAGAAGTGGAACTAATTCATGTTGTAAAAGATTATTGAGGTCGTTGAAGCTTAGCCATGTACCTGTCACTTTGGGACAAACTTTACTTTTTGACAAGTCATAAAAAAATAAGGAATAGTTCATATAAAATAAAGACTACTTTAGGATTGTTGCACTGTTATAAAATAATGGAGTTGATAAATTGTGAGTGCTAATATGTGAAAGACTTTACCCACCAGTTCAGTTAATGGTTCACTTCAATATTTATTTGAGTTTCTTGAGTTACTGCCATAATATTTCCATTATGATCAAGAAGGAGAAGTAGAGGGAAAAGCTAGCACCTTCCCCCTTTCTTACTGGAAGAATTCCAGGAATTAAATCATAACACAGTTGTGAAAGAAACAATTATATGCTAAATTAGAGAATAAAGGTGACAAAGGAGGCCTCTCTAGGTCAGGTAGACTGATAGCCTCTTCCTGAGGAGGGCTTTTGAAACTGAGATCTGAAGAGTGAGAAGTAGTTACCATATAAAGAACAAAAGGGAGCATTGCCCTGGTGCAGTGAACTATTAGAAAGGCTCAGGGATAGGAGAGGAGTGAACAGAAATGACAAAAACTGTGGCTGTCTTTGAGCAAGGAGGTGTAAGATAAGGAAAGTAGGCACAAACCAGGTTAGGATGGGCCTTGTCGACTATGATTTGAAGTGTGAGTATTATTTTACTTATTATGAGATGCATAGTGTTTTGTTTTAGGAGTTTAGTTTTAAAAACATTTTTCTTAGTGCCTTATAAAGATAGAGAAGAGCAAAAGATTAATCATGAAGTCCTGTTAGCATCTGGTTCATAGTCAAGGAGGTGATGATGGCTTGACAGGATCATAGAAGAGGGGATGAAGAGAAGTGGGTAAATTTGAGAGTACATTGGTAGTTGATCATGCAAGCTTTGGTGTTGGATTGAATGTGACAGGATACGAAGCAGAAGGTATCTACTGTTTAGTGGATAGATTCAGTGAATCCCAATCAGCCTGTGAGAAGTTTGAATGGAACTCAGTAAGTAAGCGACAAACAGGGTAATTACAAACTAAAAGCATTTTCATTTTCCATACAAAAATGAAAAATAGCAATGAAAAGAATGTGTTTACAACTGGAACTCCAGAAAACACCAACATTTCTGGGTCAGAAGGTCAGGGAGCTTGGCGAGACTGTTGAAGAGATTTGAGAAAAAGCATTGTAAAATGCAAGTTCCAGAAAAGCCACAGTAGGAAAGTTAACATAAGGAGTAGTCAACAATGTTGAGCAGAGATGACATAAGATAACAGCTAGGAAGGAATGATAGGATTGGTAGTGGGACAATTCATGATCAAAGGGAAGCTGGTTTCAGAAGTGACTTGATTCTAATGGCTTGAGGTATAAGTGAGAGATGAGGGTAGAAGAATAAGAGGGTGGCTGTAGTTAGAGAAGAACTGAAAATCTTAGAGGGAAGAGAATGCATACAAGCGCATGATTGAGATTGCGTTTGTACTTAACTCTCAGGGTTTGGAAAGAAACTGGCTATAGATGGTGTGGGTTTGTTGGAGAGAGGACTGAGAATGAGACCCCCATATGGTGGGGGTGGAGAGAGGCGGTAAGTTCAGAGTAAGAAAGAGGTGGTATGGCACTGTCTCCGGAAGGAAGGGTGCTTCAGGAGGCATGGCCATCGTGTGAACCTGTCTCTGGTGACTGGATTTGCAGCAGCCCCATTCCAGTCCACGTAGTTGTCTTATCTTTTTCAGGAGAACTTAACTGCTTTTCTGTATTTAAAATGCATGTCAACCTAGAAAATGGATTTCTCAAAAATTCATCTATTACTTATGTAGTATAAATATATGTTTCGGGTCCAAGTGCCAAAGCTCTGCTTTCTGCTCATGTTGCTTTTCATCATGGGCATGTCTTGTGTTATGCTTTGGGGTTACTCAGACCACCAGTATAAATCAAAACAAAGGAAAGCTTGTTGGTTAAGAAAGAGCACTCTGTCTGAAGGAAGAAGGGAAGAGGCGGAGACTGGAAATCAACTGAAATGTCTCTGAGATGGTACTACTGTTCCTAAAACATTGAACTTAACCACTTACAAATTTTTTCTTTTCAATCATTCTCATCTTTCTAGCTAGTACTAGCCAAAAGCACTGAATTT